TGTGAGCAAAAACAGTGTGGATGGAGAGCAGGAGAGAGATTTTTCTACTGATCAAGAGGAGTATTAAAGACAAATCTTTTTCCTCCTATTATCCTCTGATTTACTCTTCTTCCTCCTGATGATCAAAAAGCCTTAATTATGTTTTATCTGATAACCCATTGAAGATATTGGACGAGGAATCTGAACATGTTTTATTTTATTTTTTTTTTTTTTTTTTTTTTAGACTGTAAATTTAGTGAAGTTACTCATTTAATTTTCAGTGTGTTTGTGCAGTACCTAACGCAGCAAGTCTTTATTTAATGATTAAGCACTGTCGTAATTGGCAAATTTATAACATCTTACCATAAGATTATTACCAACTTTTCTGGAATAGCTTCTGTTTCCTGCATAGCCTGTGATGATGGTCTGTGTCTTATAGCAAATTATGTGAAACTCTGGCCGGCTGAGAGGTAGTGATGTTAGGGTTGAAGAGGATCACCAAAACCAGTTGTAAATTTTAATTAATTTAACTTTAATCAACCTTTTCTTCCTTGACTTAAAGCATGACAGAGGTTCTAAGGCTGGGTAGTATCTTGGTTTGTTTGTTCTGAAGTTCACTAAATAGTTGGAACAACTTTATGTGTCTGTGAGGTGAAGTGGCGCTCAGACCATTTGCCCTGTGAAGGGGTTAAGTTTCTCAGGGTACATTAGGTTGCTGGGAAATACAGTTTTCTAAAATGCTTTTTCAGGTCTTTTTTTTGGGACTCATTTCTGAAACATACTATGAACTAAGGAATCCTAAAATTTTGTGTTAGAAAAGCACAGTTCCTCCTGGAACCATATGGTAGGTTGGCAAAAATCTGTATTTTGTTCTTTTGTCCAGTAGCTGCTGGAGGTCATGCTGTCTGTGGCTCTGCTTAAAAAGGGCAGCCTCAGCTTTTAAACATCTCCTTGAAACTTTTATGCTAACAGTTTGCTAAAATTTGAACCGTGGTTATTGGACAAACTTCCACGCATTGAAAACATAAGTCATAGACTGCTACATGGTCAGAATTTAATAAGCTAAACTTTCATAGTTTTAAAATTGTGTGAAATTTCTCTCAATATCTGGTAACTTATTATTATAATAATTGCACCTCTTCCTTACATTCTTTTTTCTTTATTATTTCATAAAAGTAAACAAACAGATGAAAGGAGTCATTGTCTGACTATTTTCTCATGCTTTATTACAATCTTCCATGTAGGGGTTGAGGGAGGGAATATGTCTCTGACATAATACATTATTTTGAAAATAGAATTAGAACAGAAGATGTCTTTTCTTGACTAGGTACAATTCTGGGAGCTGCAGTGGCAACTTGTCATACTTGTTTAGGCTCCTGTCATCTGGTCCCTGACTTCACTAGACATCCTTGTGGGCTTCCCCTCGGGGCAGCAGAGTGGGGCTGGCTGCCTTTCAGGAGGGTGTTTCTGTGTTTGGATGGTCGGAGATTTAAGACGAGCAAAACAGTCTTTGATAGTCCTGGTTGTTAACCATCCAATTAAGTAAGTTCTGACAGGTGTCCTTGCATACAGACTGTTTTCAAGCTTGTTCTGCACATGCACTCTTCTAGACTCACTCTTTTCCATATCAGCTCCTTGGCCTAAGTTCTAACTAATAAATTTTGCGAAGTTGCCCTAAGTACATGGGCCAAGCTTTGTGTAATTTCTCCTCCTGTTATCATATGTATAAACATTCATAATTGGTTGGGGTATTTGATTTTTTTCATTTGCCATATATTCTGTTTAACAATGACTTTTCCCTTTGCATCAGCATTRACTGAAACTCTAGAATTTTAAAATGGTGTAATGATTAGAATGTATCTATCTAAATGGAGCTACAGAGTCTGTAGACAAACAAGGTATGTGTAAAAGCTATAGAGAAACTTATTAATTCCAGTTAATTTTTCTTTCAGGTATATGTATCATGTTTTGACCAAAAATACAACAGTAACAGATCACAACCGCAATCTCCTGGTGGAGACTATTCGTTCTATTACAGAGATCCTTATATGGGGGGATCAGAATGATGGGTCTGTTTTTGAGTAAGTAATTTTAATCATTCTTCAAAAACAAAATCCAGACCAAAAATTATTTGGTGTTCTAAGACTGCCTTTCGTGAATGTTGGCAGAAAGGTTATATCCTGTAGCAGAAACATAAGCAGGATCATAAAATCAGAATCTTTTCTTACAAAGAAACAGAGAATCAATTCCAAGATAAACAGTACAATTTATAAATAGCAAAGTGTTCAAAGTCCAGAGGCCTTTCCATATAATGTTTTTGTGTGGGATTAAAATCTTTGATATAAATAAAGAATCCAGCCTTTTTTAAGGTCCAGATTTACTCAGTTCCTCTATTAGTATCATATGACTTTCATTTGTTCACTTTATATAAGGTACTCCAAAGCTCTCCCTTCAAAACTGACAGCTTGTGAATGCAAGGCAGGGAAGCTGCCTGATGGATTAGATGCATTAAAATAAGAGAAAGAAGATTAAATAGCTCTTATGTCTTTATATTCATTTACTGCATAATTTAACTATTGCTAAAATCCCTAGTGCCTTTCTAGGGCTTTTGGAAAATGTTTTTCTGTTATAAGGATAAAACATTACAAAATACTTCCTAAATATGCAGTGTGTGAATCTTTCCTAGAATCATCCCTGATGCTCATAATACAGTGTTCTTGATAAGTATAGCAAGTATTATCTACTGATAACTCTTTGTTGTCTTGTAGCTTTTTCCTGGAGAAGAATATGTTTGTGTTCTTCTTGAACATCCTGCGTCAGAAGTCTGGTCGTTACGTGTGTGTACAGTTGCTGCAGACCTTGAACATCCTTTTTGAAAACATCAGTCATGAAACATCACTGTGTAAGGGCATGTTTTAAAATAGTATTAAATGATCAAGAGGTGATTTAAATCGTTTTCATTTTCTGAACTTTAAGGCGAGTGCCTTGCCACGGCAGAACCCTCTTCCTAAATTTCTAAGTCTCTTTAATTGAACACTTCTGAAAATGTGGAATAATTTTCTCCACTTTGATCTTCTAATATGAATTTTCAGTAGTGCAGAAGTTGTTGTTTGACACTATTGAAACACTCTGGCATGGCAAGTGCTGCCATTCAGTTGAAATGTGTTAACTTCACGGTTTTCAGGAGCACAGGAGGAAGACAGAAAGTTAATGAGGGGTACTCCAAGCCTATCAATAAGAGCAAGTTATACACCAGCCTTTGAGGTTWTATGAGTTTGAGGAAGAGAGAGGGGTTTTTATACATATTATTTGTCTGTGCTCATTTAGGCATTTGATTTATTGGCCACAAATTGAGAAAAAGGCAAGTGGAAGTATATGCTATTCTCCATTGACTCCTGTTCACCTCTAATTACTGCTAGAAGTTGTCAGTTGAGGAGCTTGGCTAAAAATTCAGACATTAAGGATTTTGCTACTAGCTGGTGCTTTAAATATAGCTAATTAATGTAGGGATTTTTTTCTCTTTTGTTTAACCTGTGCCATTTTTTTTTTTCAGACTATCTGCTTTCTAATAACTATGTGAATTCTATTATTGTCCACAAATTTGACTTTTCTGATGAGGAGATCATGGCATATTATATATCATTTTTGAAAACGCTTTCTCTGAAACTCAACAATCACACTGTACACTTCTTTTATAATGAGGTAAGTGAGGAAAGGATTACAGTGCAAGGATGAGAGGAGTTTAAGTAAAAATTGATACCAAGTTTTAATGTATTCCATTCAGTCTCAACATGACTTGTTTGTTCAAAATTGAATTTTATATAGTAATATCAGCAATTGAGAATTCATTTAGGATGCTCTTTGGTGAAACACATTAAAAAAGAAGGTCCCTGTTTAGATCACACAGCTACAGTGTGACCTGAATCTATACATTAATATTATTTTGAATGTTTCAGTAGTTTTTGAGTCTGCTTCCCTGAGAATGCAACCTGTTATGTGCTGCTTACCATGCTTTTGTAGACAGTTTTTGTGGTTTTTTTTTCCTCTCTTCTATCACTGAATTTTTAAGCAGACTTTGCAGATGTGGATTAAGCCCCTTAATCAAAGGGCGAAGGTGAAACCTTCTTTTCCTCTTTCTCCATACCACTTGTTGCCAAAAGAGGGCATCAAAGCTCTGAGTGTGTGCAGGCTTAGCGTAGACTACTTGGGTCAAAGTATTTATTTTATCTCAAAGCTACCACTGCAACTGAGCCTGCATTATTAAACCACTTTGGTTGCTTTATAAAAATTTGAAATATCTGAGCAATATATGGAAATATTTTTCATGTAGAATTGTAACAAATCCTCTGTACATGTATACAGTTAATACATAATACTTTCTTTTTTGTTGTTGTTGTTGTTACAGCACACAAATGACTTTGCTTTGTATACAGAAGCTATAAAATTTTTTAACCACCCAGAAAGCATGGTGAGAATTGCTGTTAGGACTATAACCTTAAATGTCTACAAAGGTATGTTTTTGATATTAGAAAAGGCATGTATATAGAATGTTTGTTTTACTGTAGTTTAACATTCAGCTATACATATTGAAATTTTATTTCTGTTGTATGGGGTGGATAACCTTAGCATGCTGATATCCCTGCTCTGCACGTGCGCATGTTGAGTTTTATGGAACAGAAATCCAAAACTACAGTGTGCATTTTTAAATATTAYAGTGTTACAGATTCCTCTGTTGGACATTCCAACATTTAGGCATGAGGGATAAACATTTGACAGTGGCTAAGCACTGGAACATGGTTCTCAGAGGAACTGGGGAATCTCATTATTGCTTGATATTTTGAAGACTCTGCAAGGTCCAGAGCGACCTGATCCTGTTTTAAAGTTGGCCCTCCTTCAAAAAGATCTGGCCTAGATGAGCCCTGAAAGTTGCTCCCTACTGAAATTTTCTCTAAAGCTCTACATGTTCAGTGTGTAGTAGACTGAAAATGCCAGAGTGATGCCTGTGAAAAATGATTGCATATTCAGAACTTGTCTCCTAAGTCAGCATGCTGCAAGGCATTGTGAAATAAGTTCACGTGGGGCTTCTTACTCTTTAATCGATATTGTCGTTATTTCTTACATTTGACTTTATTGCAAATTTAATGCTACTTTCTAAAAGTTAAGAGAAGTAGTGATTTGATGATAGTCGTCTTTGTTTAAGAATGTAAGATCTGTCTTAAAGTGATGAAGAGTTCACTTTGCAAAGATTTTGAATAGGCCTTTTAATGTGGGTAGCATTTAAAAAAATTGTTTTAGTACCTATTTGGATACTAAAGTGAACAGTAACCTTTCATAGTAAGAATATTCAATTGAATGTTGCAGTGTTATAAAGATTGCAGTGTTATAAAGATTACAGTTGAAAACAGCTTAGACATTGAAGTTTCTTAATTTTCTGAATCCCATTTGCAAATGTTCTTATCTAACGCATGCCCTGTATCTTCTAGTTTAGATGCTTCGTGCTTTAGCTTTTTTAACCCTTTTAGAGGATGTCACTATCCCAGTTCCTAATCCTGTTAACTGTTGTCTGTTTCTTTTGCCCTTCCTTCACTGATGATTCCTGTGTTCCTTAATGCAGTGTCATGTAAGTCTAACTAGCTCGACTTTCAGCATTACTGCTTTATTCTTGTGCTTTTTCTCTTCTTTTTGATAAAGAATGTGCTAAAAAACTTTCTGAATTCCACTAGATTTGTTTATATTCAGACCCATGTAAATATATCAGTATTAGGCTCATTCATGTCACTAGGAGATGATATGAACATTTTGTAGATGCCTGTTTTGTGCATCAGATAAATTCAGGTATATACTTGTATGAAAAGCAAGCATGTAATCAAAATTCAGGAAAGAATTTTGTATTTAAAAAATAAAAAGAAGGAAACTGATTTTTCTCTTTAACAATTTCTCTTCAGTGGACAACCAGCCAATGCTGCATTACATTAGAGATAAAACTGCTGTCCCCTATTTCTCCAACCTTGTTTGGTTTATTGGAAGCCATGTGATAGAACTGGATAACTGTGTGCAGACCGATGAAGAGTAAGCTTTTACAAATGTGGGGTATTGAATAGAAATGCTTTTAACAGATACTTTGATAAGCTCCTTACTTTGTCCGTAGTAGTACAGTTAATGTGAATATAGTCCCCTGCAGACCTGTCAAGCTTTTGATTCCCTCCGAGTTAAGGTAGTGATCCTTTTAATTAATATTTAGCACTGTGTTCCCTATCTGTGCTAACATACTATTGTTTAGCAATGTGCTTTTTTGTTGTTGATTGTAGGTATTCACAAGACATAAATGTTCTTTTGTGATTCTCAGTCTTATTAACTTTGCTTTATTAATGTTCCTTCTCTGTGTACTGTATCAGAACTACATTCTGAAAGTATTTCTAGGAAAGAAATTATAATGTGGAAAGTTGAACTTTAATATATGAGCTGTCAGATCTGGAATTCCTGTGTAACATTCCACTACCAACTACGCTAACACTTTGTTGCTTCAAGTTGCCTTTGGTTTAAATACCAAAGCATGGGTAGTTATAATCTCCCCACTTTAAGAAAGTACATTAGAACATAACATTTTTACTTTTGGAAACAAACCTTGCAATATTTTATGATTTGCTCCTGAAAAGACTGTCAGGGTAAAAACTGCTCTTTTATGAAAATACTGCTTCTGAAAACCTGGCAGGGGGAGGGTGGGGAATGGGTGTCCTGAAGCAAATACCAGTCCAAATCCTTTTCACTAGTTGTTTCAGGTGATTATTCTGAAAGCATCTGATTTTGTGGTCAATCTGCACAGGTCGTCTGTGAGAGAGATGTGGGGGAATTCTGTCATTAGGTTTTTAAAACAYTTAGACTGTTGTTGATATCTGAGGGTTTCTTTTCTCTCTCCTCTTTCAGGCACAGAAATAGAGGCAAACTGAGTGACCTAGTAGCCGAACACCTCGATCATTTGCATTACCTTAATGATATCCTGATTATTAACTGTGAATTCTTAAATGATGTGCTGACAGATCACCTACTTAATAGGCTCTTTCTTCCCCTCTATGTGTATTCATTGGTAAATCAAGATAAGGTAAGGCACACTGGCCAATATATAAGTCTGAAAGGATTTTTTTTTTTACTTTGGATATGTATAGGGATTTGTCCAGCAGGTGTACTCTATAGTAGAACTARTATTGGCTATGTTGAAGTTCTTGTATTTGAGAGAATTTGAAYAAGGTGACAGTAGAGAAATACTATAGGACTTGATMTAAGAACACTAAGGATAAATCGTAYTCACTGGGCATGTACCATWTTGGATAATATGGTACGTTAAAATTGTTTTTTAAATGTTACAAATAGTGAGCATGAGGAATGTTACAATTGAATGTGGCAACAGTGATAAGATGTAGTGGCAGCTTGCTTTGTTTTCAGAATATGGCCTTTAAATTATTTGGGGCTGTGCTTCAGTGAACCTTGTGGAATGCAAAATTCCAGGTTCCTGTGCTCAAKTGTCACGTAAAGGGCTGCTCATTTTCACTGAGGTTATTTTTCCTTCTAAATCTTCTGTAGTGTGTGTGTTCCTAAGGCTTCCCGTGCCTGTGAATTTCAGAATATTTTCATTATATAGAGCATGTAGGTCATTACAAATTAATGATTTCAATATGYTGCACATGCACTGAAGGCTGAATAGTGGTCATCATCTCATCCTGCCATTGGTAGGATTTATTTGGAACAGGGCAGAAAGCAAATTACCTAATTCCTGGTTTCATTTGCAGCTGTTCTAACTCTTCCCTTTCATGAATACACAAAGAAAAGCTTGAAGGTTTTTGCACTCAGAAAGCAAGTTTCCAAACTAGCACATTTATTAGTCTGAGATATCTACCATTTTAAAATGGGGCTATTCTTTTATCTCTTGAGATGACTTAGATTTTTTTTTGTTTTAAAGCATTGCTAAGGTGTATTAGAAATATTTGAGTAACTACTMATCAGTAAATTAATGTTCTTGTGATCAAGTTATGCTTAAAGTACGCTATGAAAGCAGCAACTGCGAGAGACTACAGTAGGGTGTGTGATTGTGGGTGCTTTTTAGCATATAGAGTTAGCTGTATGCCTAATAGGATAGACATGTTCATTCAGAATCGTTTACAAGAAGTGAGCAGTGGCATGCTGCTTCCTGGAAGCTTTGATGATAGGATGTAAAACAACACAGTGATTTGTTTTTAAAATAGATACTAAGTAGTGTGAATGCTTTAACTTTGTACGAGTTAATCAGCATTTTTCATAACTTCTTTCTTTCCTTAGGGTGGGGAGCGTCCAAAAATAAGTCTCCAAGTTTCTCTCTATCTTCTTTCTCAAGTATGTATTTAACCAATTCTGTCGCATTGTAGACTGTTTTACAACAATACTGAATTCCTATAAATTCCTAATTTATAGTAGGAATTCTAGATTTTTTTTTGATGTGTTTACACAAAACTTCTAAAGACGACTTGACACTCTTTAAATCTGTTTTAATAATAATAAGAAGAAAAAGCAAGCTCACTTGTGTTACGGATAGACCAAGGAACCCCTCGTTTCAATCRATATCTTTCCTCAGTGAATCTTTCCCTCTTTGGCAGCTCTTAGCAGACTGAGTGCTCTGACAAGCTGYGTATAATGGAGCCAGACAATGTGCTGGGCAGAATTGAGTGTAACTGTAGGTGAAACCTCAATGTGCAGTATTTTGCACTTTGTACTGCCCTAAACTTTGAAGATTTCCAGGGTTGAATTTTCCCCAACAACAACCAAACCTGCTGTCAGCGACAATCATATCATTATGTCTAAACTTAAATCTGACAAAAACCAGCCGTTACTGTGTGGCCCATCTTTGTGATTAATTTTTAGAATTACTTTTTTATTTTTACTGATGTGGAAGACAACTTTATTTTAGAAGGAGGAAGGCTTGCAGAAACACTTAAGCTAGGTAGTATAAAATATAAAGAAAGAACAAATATCTCTATGAAGAATTGTGATCTACAGTCTAGTGAAATAGACTTCATGAACAGGGCTAACAATAGTACTTTCCCTATATATAAACTTAATGTAATAGTGTTTAATGAGGCTGGAGAAATATGTTTAGTGGCTGAAATCATGGAATTGTCTTGTGATAATGTTTCTTTCCCCTCTTATTTTAATAGGTTTTTCTAATTATACATTATGCACCTTTGGTGAACTCGTTGGCTGAGGTTATTCTTAATGGTGACCTGTCAGTATTTTCTTCGAAAGTTGAGCAAGATATTCAGAAGAACTCAGTAAGTGGCCAGCTTATGTTTGTGTGTTGGTTTATTTCCATTTCTCTTAACTTAGACAAAAGAAAATACTTGAAAAATAAAATCAGATATTTGGAAACTGTTAAGTGATCATGTTTAGAAGAGAAAGGAAAAAAATCAGGCTTTAATTTTYTTTTCCTCAACTATGGCAGCAGTAACCTGAGTGTTCTGCCCTTGCAGCACTGTGGTATTTGTGTGTTGGTGCTTGCAGGTGTGACACAGGAATGGGGCAGCCCACAAGGGCCCTTCTGCAGAGGCTCTCAGCCCTTTAGGGACACCCGTACACAGAAATCTGCCTTCAGTTCAAGTTCAAGCGGGGCTGCAGATCAGTCACCACATCTTCCCTCCAAAACTATTTCCTTATACAACTGGTGACAGAATGAGAGAATTACTAAAAYAGAACTGGCTTTATGGTTGTATACAGGGAAATGCAGTTTTTTAATGTAAATATTCTCTGGAGCTCGGTGTTAAGGCTGACCATGTCTGGAAGTCCACAAGCACCCACATATATTCAGGTTTAATCCTCTGTAGATSTTCCTCGGTGCTGCTGTGACCGTTACCCTCCCCTTGTCCCCAAGAGCTTCACATGTTTTTTTTCTCTTTTGTTGCGAGTTTCATGGTTTATGAAATGCTGTTTCTTAAAGGGCTTATTTGGGCATAGCAAGGAGGTGAGCGTGTCCCCTCCTGTGTGATGGGGCAGCTCAGGGTCCAGTTTCTTGCTGCGTGGTTTAGAGCGAGCACTGGACTCCTCGTGTGTGCCCAGGCTCTCCCTGCAGCGAGAGAGATCCAGATTTCTTCCTGTTGAGCGGTGGAAGCATCGTGGGCTGATCTTTRCCAGTACCTTTCAGACCTAGAGTTTGCCCTGCTGACTTTTTAGAGTCTAATTTTGCTGAGAAGAACCTCTGTGGTGGAATAATGGAGCTGCCCTTGTGTCTGGAGCAGCTCTTGTGTTAGGAAATGTTTGAGCTTCTGGTTGCATGCTGCGTGTTTATGGGTATGCTTCTTGTGCAGAAGCAGCACGAGTTACTAGGAAATTTGTGGCAAGAGGGTGGAGCACTGTGTGTTGCAGAAGTGAGAGTTTTCTTTTTTTCCCCCGTCATAGTTACTGCAGAGTTGCAAAATATTTGTAACATTAATGGTTAATTAATATTAGGAGTATTAGGAGTATCCTCTAAACCTCAGTTGTTTTATGTTCGTGGTGCTATTTAGGTCGTTGCTTCTTACTGGTCGTAAAGATGCAGCCTCACGTGAAATGAGCTTTCTGTTGTACCCGAAAAGTTAATAAATGGAAACTGCATTCCTAGGATAGATGCTCAGGAGAACTGCAGTAGAGGTGAGCTGGGTGGTATGAGGGAGAAAAGCTGGGATAGTTCTAGTTGAGGAGGGGAAAAAAGGGATCGTGGGAGCAAGAAAAGTAGTTTTGGTAGATACAGCCCTTTCCTTCAGCAAAAGCATAGGTGGGGATCCCTTCCTCACACGAAGCCTGAAGCCAACTGGTGGAGCTTGTTGTGTGTTTGCAGAAGGGACAGGGAGAGAGGCAGGGGCATCTCAAGTCGTGAGCAAGCTTTATTTTGGGATTGAAATTTAGTTTTGGCTTTGTTCTTACATCAGAGCCACATTTGTTTATTTTACCTCTTCCTTTCTGCTGTGCTTTGCTGCAGAGGTGGTTGTGCTCTTCTCCCAGCCTTCCACTTGTTTTTAGGGTAATTTCCATGTGAGGTGAAACTGGTTATCTCTAAATCTACATTATTTATTCAAGAATGCTCAGCTGCCATTTGAGATATCATGAAATATTTACATTGCAGTGAAACGGTCAGCGTCTGTACCAGCCTGCAGCACTGAAAAACAAGTGGGGAAGCAAAAGCTGGGAAGCGTCGCAGTTGCTATGTGTAAGGGAACTTAGCCAGAGTTATTCGGAGCAAATAACAATGATAATGCAGGAATAAACGTGGCTTTTTATTGGAAATCAGGCCTGCATCAGAAAAAAAATCAGAAATGAGGAAAAAAATGATTCCAGATACCTTAAGGGAGTTGTTTTGTTTTATTCTTTTTCATCCTGAGAGATTCTGTCTCATGCCTGTGTAATCAGGAGAATATATTTTAACTTTCTGGCCTTTATCACATTCAGGGTTGCCTTATTTCCTGTGAGAACTGTTTCCCTGCATAGTTAGGATGTGGGTCAGTGCTACCTGTTTCTTTTCTTGTTTGTTTTTGTATGCTTTTTTTTTTTTTAACCTACTTTCTCCTTCCTGCAAGAAGTTATTACTGGTAGTGCCTCATTTTACCAGCAGACATTGCTGAGGATAAACCAGCCATTTATGTTAAAAATACGACTGAAAGACATTTTGAAAGTATAAACCCAAAATGTATAATCAGCTAAACTATAGGTAATATAAAATAATTTAAACTTTAATTTTACACTATATGAATTATATAACCRTATTATATTTGACAGTGAACAAAATCTATTAGCTTTATTCTGAACATTGGGTTGAGGATCAGTGCTCATGAGCCAATGTCACTGTGCCATGGTCTTGTGTTCCCCTTGCTCGCAGGGTTGGCTGCAGCCTCCTGGGATTGCACGGATGTTAACAACATGTGTTAATTATAAAGAAAGCAGTTCCAATAATTCCAGCCGTTTAATAACCTTGCTACGTTGCAGCTTGAGGTGGGGTTGGGCTTGTGAAAGGTCCTTCCTGCTCTGTGGCTTGTTTCAGTGACAAGCACAGGCTGCCTTATGCAAGACTCTTAGAAAAACTCTTTAACTAAAGTCAAGTTCACAAAAATATTTTAGGCTTTTGACTTCTCCCAGGGTTCTGGAAAGATTGCTTCCTAATCCTTTTCCCCAGTCACCTTATCAAGTGCAGGGAGGGACTTTTCCAGACTTTTTTTCCCTGAGGTGTCTCTGATACACTCAGTTTCAGTGCTCACTGTGCTAGAAGCACTAAGGAGCATAATGGCAGCTTAGTGTGTGTCCAGTTCTCCTGTTTCCTTCCTGCTGCCTGCCCTTTCTTTTGAAACTTTCACGCATTTTCAGGTGAATGTGCTGAGGTGTGAAGGTCTGAAAGGGGAGAGGTTCCTCCTGCCGCCGCGTTCAGCACAGACCTGTTTGGGTAGGAAGCCCCAAACCCAACCCCAAGCACCAAACCTTGGTGCTCGGCTGGCGAGAAGCTCCTTGCCCACGACTGCACCAACACTCACTCGCCAAGAGAAAATGCTGATTCCCTCTGGCAGGCATCTGGCAGCCACGTTTATTTCCTTGCTCAATAAGTAGATCTTCAGGAAAGTGGGTATTTATTGAATATTGGGTTTTTTTGTTGTCAAAATCGTTGCTTTGCCTTGAAAAGCAGACCCTGATGAACTTGATAGAACACGGGTGTATTTCAGCCTAATAAATGAACTGGTTTCAGTTGCCAGAATTTGCAGTAGTTCACACAGGCCTAATATGTAGTTGAAAGAGGTTTAGATTCCCAAAGGGCTTGCAGCTTAGAGCCCTGGCTTTCATTCTCATACTGCATAAGACTTTTGAACAACCAAATTAATACCTTGTTATTCAGATGCATTTTCAATTTAGCTGTTTTTATCCTATTTGCAAAAGGTGTTTTGCTTTGTATAAGTTACTTCTTCCACTGAGTAAATTTCATTATTTGATCTTTAGAGAAAGAAAAAACTTGTTTTTTTCTAAAGGAAGATTTATTTAAAGTAGGTAATTCTGTGCCTTTGTTCCAGAGTGACATGCTGCTTCATTTGAGGTCTTTACAAAGCGTTCTTTTGCAGATAATTGTGTTCTAGTAATGTTTTGATAAACTTCAGGTGACATCTGCTTATCTGTACTTTAAAACTAATTTGGATTTCTAAGTGATGTGCAGGCCTTATTGTGAAAATAATGCTCATACAACCTGAAATTTCTTTATAAACTATGGTAAAATGTCTCTGTAGCTCAACGTGAACTATTGAAATTTGCAGGCTAAGTCCAGCATCAGATGTTTCATAAAACCAACTGAAACTCTGGAGAGGTCTCTAGAAATTAATAAACAGAAAGGGAAGAAGAGGTTGCTGAAGAGACCCAACTATAAAAATGTTGGCGAGGAAGATGAAGAGGAGAGAGGGTCTGARGATTCTCAAGATGACCTGGATAAAGCTAAAGGTACAGAAGGGAGTTCGAAGGGCGTCAGAACAAGCACTGAAAATGAAGGTAAGTATACCAGTAAATAATGATTCTAAATTAAAACCTCTTCTAGTTTTGTAAATTTTAATTACACATTTTCGGTAGTTTTGACCGAATTGGTTTTATATGAGTCTATGCAGATATCCTTGTTCCTTAGAATAAGGAATAAAGAAAGCTTTAAAGTAAACAAACTCTTCTTGTATGGACAATAAAACCTCAACGTAGGCATTAGTTAACTTTTCTATAGTTGCAATGTGTACCTTTTGTGTGCAGCTGCATTAGTTGCTTTGAGTGCAAAATGTAAAATGAAAGAGTTTGCAATAATAATTTGTTAAATTATTTGTTTATTAGAAATAGAGATGGTAATCATGGAGAGGTGTAAACTGTCAGAATTGTCCATCTCTGCGGTGACRGAGCAGAATACAACGGATGAAGAAAAGAGTGCGGCGGCCTCCGGGAGCGACGTAACCAATTGGAATAGGTAGGAAAGAGCTTTAATTTTCTTYGATGGTTTTCTTGCTTGCTCTCTCTCAGTTCAGCCATCCCTCTTAGGGCATGCCTGAAATGTGCCTCTAATTCCAGTCACATTCTGCAAGGGGCTGTGCTAGGGAGGTGGGCTCTGTGCACAGTTATGCTGCCTGAAGTAGCCTGTTGAATGCAGCAGCTGTTAAAGGTGTTCATAAAAGATGAGTTCTCATTCCAGAATTATTCAAATCTCTGAATTCAAATAAGATGTTCTCTTAGCAACTATTACTTGCACATCTGTCAGTTTTATATACTCCTGTATCTGGAAATATAAGAATTCCATGGTTTAGTCCTGAATTTTGCAAAGTTTCAGCAGTAAATTATTTATGAATAAGCCCTTCTAATACATGTAGGATTTCTAAGAGGCACTAGTGTATTTTATGTTATCGAACACTTGGTGGTTAATTTACTGTGAAATAGTTTCYTTTAAAGAAGAATAGAAAATATTGAAATCTTAACTTCCTTGGTAATATTCTCTCAGCAAAGTAATATGAAAGGATAAAGGATGGTTTCCAGCTGTTTCTGGGGGGAGAAATTCTCCTGATATCAGAATAGAAACTGCAATCTAATCCTCTTTTTTTGTGATTTTGTTTTTAATCAGCTCTGTCCGCTTATATATTGATTGTCCTTGAGACACTTTTTGTAAGAATTTTGCTATGTTCTTATTTTTTGAATACTAAAAATGGTGTTTAGAATAGCATAAAAAGTATTAAAATATTACTGTACAAGATAAAGCATTAAAATATATTAAAAGTTTTTTTAATGAGAAAAGTAATAAACTGAACTYGTCATTGCTGACACAAAAATACTTTCAAGTGTGTCGCCTAGATAGCTTTGATTACATTAACTAATAAAAATAACTGTCCAGGATTTAAGTAACTCGTAATTYAAATGGTATTTAACTGGTTCTTAAACATGGATGTCTTGTTTCTTTTGCATATGATCTTGTCTGAACTCCCTKGGCTGTGGGTGAAACACCCCGTTGGGTTAATTGCTTGGGATTTTCGTTCTGGCTACTTTTCTACSTTGCCTTTGCTCACAGTTACCTTCCCCCTTTACATTAGCAGTGTCATAAGGCAAGTTTGGCTTTGCCAAGTGGAGCAAAGTGGACCGTGGGCAGCGAGGAATTGTAACTCGGTGTCACTTCGTTCTGTCAGGGAAGATGTTTGTGACCTGACCTAAAAAAGGCATGACTGTGATTGCAACCTCATGCACTGCCCAGAGACCCAACGTGGCCTGTTATTGCTGTAATAACCTGGTTCTGTGGAAAGGGAACATGTTCTCTGGAAGGGAGTGTGTGYAGGGATGTAAGCRGGGCTGAAGGGCAGTGCCAAGAGCATTGGGCTGTCTTTGGTTGAGTGGATCCATAAATTGTCCCCATAAGGGAGCTCCAGACCTGACATACCTGTCCCAGCATGTTGGGTTCTTTGCTTTGATAGCCCCTCTGCCCCTCAGCTACCTGCAGCAGGGAGTYGGTAGCAGACACTTAACTGCTGGGTCAGAATGCGGGAACAAWTTATTTTCCACTTTAGATGTTGTTATTATGATAAAATATTTTAGTTACTAATGTATTACTGCAGCAAGTATTAGAAACATGCATAGCATAAGGATATTTTTCACTGTTTGAAATTCACTTTAAAAATTCACTGTAAAATTCAGTGAAGGAATCGTGCTTAGGTCTTTTTTTAAATTGAAGTTTGAACTCTTCTGGTGATCCTGTTACTTGCGTTAGCTTGTAGGTCCTGGCCATTTATCCTTGAGAAATAAATGCAGGGCAGGAACCAAGTTGCTTTGCCATCAGTTTGGGCTAGTATCASCTGAGTCTGGTTTGGCTAAACAGCTTTTGGGTTAAATTGACTTTCTGATCTATTCAGGTGCAGGTGAAGTGAACTCGATAGTTGTAGCTTCCTTGATTCAGGTCATTGATCACATAGTCTTAAAACCAGGAGGCAAAAACACKTTTCCAGTCCGGAGCTTTTATTTTCCCTTTCCAATTTTCCTGCCTCATTCTGTTTGTGGGTTTTTTGTATGTATGTGGTGTTTTTTTTTTGTTTCTCTGTAACTGGGTTTAAAATTTTCTATTCCTTTTGCTAGTATTAACCGATCTCCTCCAAACTGATAGTGGAAATGGCTTTTTTACCAGGAGAGTGAAAACCTTCCGAGTCTGGCACAACACGAGCCTGACAGCGGCTGTTGCTGTGCAGCACTTCTGTAGGCATAAGAAATATGCTAGAAACAGACTCCACAGAAGCGTGAGCAGTTGGGAGAGTATTATGTGACACATCCCGTTAAAACCTCAGAAAATACAACACAGTTTATGCCTATACCCTGCTTAATCCCAAAATAAGTTTTTTTTTTTTTTTTTTTGCTTAAATCCTAAAAATGTGCCTTTTTCGTTAGCTACGTGTAGAATAGGATATCTAATCACATTTCTCTGTGAACACAGTCTTTTTGTTCTGCTCTGTCTGAACGTGCCCCCTGTCCACAGGCCCTTTCTGGACATGGTCTATAACGCGCTGGACTGCGCTGAGGACGACTACTACGCACTCTTTGTGCTCTGCCTTCTCTATGCCATGTCGCACAATAAAGGTGAGTGTTTGGCCCTCCACAGRAAGCAAATGAGCCCCGTTTAGTCATTAGGCCTAACATTTAGGTGCTACCTAGTTAATGTGTTACATTTAGACATGTTTTAAACAGAAATTCCTTATGCAATGACAGGGAGGGAAAATAAATGCGTTAAGGAACTTTATGACAGCCTAGGTGTAAAACCTGGTAAATATCGAATGACTTCGAATGACTTTTGAACAGAAAGTCATTCGAAATGAATTCAAAACCAACAGAATGACTTTGTTCTGTTGGCTTCTTGCAACTGCAGTAGGATTACTGTGTTTTCTTTTTTAGTTTTCCACCTTTGGTTGAAGGCCACCATRTTCAGTCTGAATATGGAAGGGCTGTGATGTGCTGACTTCAAGGGGCCTCTAGAAGGCAAGCAGGATGGTGGTGAGGATCTCGAGGAAGAAGACTCATGAGACAGATAAAATGTTGCAGACCAAAAAGTTAAATTCTGTTCCATGACCAATCATGGCCCTCAAATAGTCTCTTTACTGTCTTCTCCACCTCTCTGCCATATCTTCTTTAACACCCACGTTGCTCCTGCAACTACTCGGTACTCTAGGTACCAAAGATGCTTTTCTGAGGTTGTTATTAGCAGAGAATTTCAGGCCTTGCACAGACACAGTGCAGCAATAATTACTGAAGGCAGCAGCACAGCTTTGCTGTGCCTTGGTCCTCTCTGGCTTTAACCTCTGTGCGTATTTTTTTAATTATTATTTTTTCCYCCTCCAAAAAACTAGTATTAGAACCAATAACCCTCCCCTAAAGCTGCCTATGTACGTGTTGTACACATAGTATGGGTGTATGGCGTTAAGTACAAGTTCAGAATTGGAAAAAAAATTAACTGTGGTACACTGAGCTTCTGTTTTAAAGGAATATTTATTACCATTCCTTAGAACAAGGACACTGACATCCTCAGCAATCCATCTCTTTTTTRCTTTAAGAGCTCTTACAGGAACCAATCTGTTCTGGGAACCAACTCATTCTGAGAAATAATCTTAGTATTTTACAGGAATAGGAAACTAAAATTGTCTTCTCTCAGCCCCGTAACTCAGTACCTTTGTGACTTCAGGATGTCGGCTAAATAAGAAGCTCCTATTTCCAGAGTAAAATTTCTATGTTTCTAAATTAGATACGAACTGATCACGTACTACCAAAGCAGAATTTAAAATCAGACTTCTCTCTCTTCATCCTTTAGTCTTTGTGTTCTTCAGGTGATGCAGCAAAAGGATTTGGGTGTCACCAGCCATGTTGTTGGGCTTTGAGTGTCTTCACCTCTAGTGTCTAGTAGGCTACTTGAAAATCTGTGATTTTCCAGTGATATACAAGTTTATTTAGTCTTTTTTGTGTGTGTTATCCCTGTGATAGAGAAGCACAGAACTGTCTTGCAGGAGGACTGTTGCACTCTATAAGTATTTAGCCAGAAGTATACTCCTGTTTGCTTATGTATTTCCTTTCCTTCATCCCCCGTTAAAGGAATTGATCCAGTCAAACTCGACAGAATTCAACTTCCAGCTCAAAATGCCGAAGAGAGAAATTCGTATAATCATGTACTTGCAGAGGGGCTCATCAGGATAATGAATTATGCTGCACAAGCGGGTATGACACTTTTAGTATCTGTCATCTTGTCAAGCTGACATCTTTGGAGGTGTTTAAAATGAACAAAATGCTAGTTAGCCCCTTGTGTTGTTTCAGGGAAAGTATCTCTTTACCATGTTTTTTATTGAATAATAAGTAGATACGGACTGTGAAATACGAGTATCAGTTTTCCCCTGAATTGTTAACGAATCAGGAACTCTGCTTGTCTTCTCTGTAGTTGCTTTTCTGCTCAGGTCTCTGCAGAGGTCTTTGGTCTGAATTCATGCTTTTTGGTTTTTTGAATAAACAAAATAGCTAGCAAAAAATGAAGATAGGTAGTGATTATTGGTGGAGTATAGAGAATCCTCCTCAAACCATGGTTTGGGTGCTGTTGCTCACAACACTGCTGTGAGGGTAGTAGTAATTTCAAAAACATATCTGGGAAATTGCTGGTACCCATTGTTTATAGCTAGACTTTGTTCCCAAAGGTGATGCCTTTTTAATCACRATCTGTATATTCAGTCTGAAGTGCTTTATAGAAAACATTTTTCCTTGACTTCAGGTTTTTGTGAGGTGGTGTTTTCAGGGCTCAATGAAATAACTATTTGCCRTGTTGAGGCTCTAGGTCTTTCCTAGTAATGCTGTTGAATGGTTTTGTTTTAAAGTATTTTCCTGGTTAGTCTTTCAGTTTTTGTGTTCTTCTCGTTGTCCATCAAACTGTGTATCTGCAACAGCACCCTTCTTGTCAGGTAGGGTGCTGTTGACAGAGGAGGAAGGTTTATAACCCCAGAGAAGGGTAAAAACATGGAAAATAAATCATTAGTGAGAACAGTAATATGAGTAATGTGAGAACAGTTGCTTCTATTTTGTATATTGAAATTCTCTTTTTGTAGATGGGAAAATACGTTTGGCGACGTTAGAACTTGGTTGTCTATTGCTTAAGCAACTTGTATTTTCTAAAAATGGCAGTATCATAAAAGATGTTCATCTTGCTTGCCTTGAGGTAAGTATTTCTTTCAAATTAACTGGTCCAGCATTAACTTTCTTGCCCTTGTTGTGTATTTGAATGAAATTATTTCATACTTAATTCCAAAAAAAACGGCATATCCTAACATGAGGCTTTTAGAACACCTTTCAAAAGCTGAACAGTGAAATTAAATAATTGATTCCAAATGTTCCAATTTCTGTTACCTCACAGGTAAGCTCTCAGATATAAATATGTTTTATTTTCTCTAAAATTTCTGGTAGCCATCTCAGTGTAATGAAGAGTGGTTATCTTTCTCAGATAAGCTGTATTTAAGTGCTCTCTTCTGCTGAGGTCATGAATATGGTGGCAGTTTACTTGAAAATGCTGGTTTTGGAATGGTATTTTGTCATTTAGGTGTGCGTTTCCTTTGTTGTTGTTGTTCCTTAAAGGGACTTTGAGTAAATGCAGTTCTTGCTACCTGAAACACAGCTAAATTGTCTTCTTTTTTCCTTAGGGTGCGAGGGAAGAAAGCGTTCATCTCCTGCGCCGTTTTTACAAGGTGGGTACGCTGGGAGGAAGAGTCACTTGGCTAAGGCGGAATYGGAGGCAAGTTTCTAACCCTGTCTCCTCTTAGTACCCCCGGTACCTACTTTTGTGGGGGAAGAAAACGTGAAAGAGAAGAAAAAGTGTTCAGTGGGAGGGTTATTCTCCTTTCCTGCCTCTCCCTTAAGCTGCTGATGTGCTTCCCAAAATGACTATTAGAAATCTCGTAAGCYGCGAGTCCGAGGTCCCATGAGCAGCCCCAGGCCTTTGTTGTGCCTGCTGTTATGCCATGGAGCAGAACCAAGCAAACATCAGAAGAACAATTCTGAGATTTTATCGTTAAGACTAATATGGGAGATACTCTTTTCTTGGTGTCGCTTTTTGGTTGCATCTTATCTCAAATATATCTTTTTTTTTTTTTAGGGGGAAGAAATTTTTCTGGATATGTTTGAAGATGAATACCGAAGTATGACAGTAAGTGACAAGTAAATATAATAGCCTGCCCTCAAATGCAAGTATAATGCAGCAAGAAGAAGCACAAGAAAAATTTGGGTTAAAGCTTGTAATCAGCCACATGAGAGGCTTTGTTTTTTTAGTGCTCATGGAGCAACTTTCCTCTCTGTACTCTATAACCTTGCAGTTTTTTGCTGTGGTTTGTCAGTATGGAAACCACAATAGTGTGTTAAGGACCAATGAACAAATATAAAATAGAGATTGCATGTAACAGCTTAAAATAGCATGTATGATATCAAAAATTCTCAGAATACTCTCTTCAAACATGTGGTACATTAGAAAGTAAAGGTGGGAGGCTTCAATTGTACTGTATAGTAATCAATGCAAAAATATTTTCATAGATGAAACCCATGAATGTCGAGTACTTGATGATGGATGCTTCCATTCTGCTGCCTCCAACGGGGACACCACTCACTGGTATTGATTTTCTGAAAAGATTGCCCTGTGGAGATGTGGAAAGGACACGAAGAGTGAGTAAGGCTGTCTTGCTTTCTTTCACAGTGGAATAATACCACTGGTGATGAGCARTTCTAGAAATACAGACATTTTCCCCTTAAAAGGTACTTGATTGAAAGCTTCTTCTATAACATCTTAAAAAACAAACGCRGACAGAACTTAGACCTTCTATTTTTTATCTGTCCCAGTACAGAAATGTTTTCGCTCTGATTTCTTGTATCTGGTCACTTYAGTACATGCTGAGGTTTTCAATGTTAGGCTGTGGAGACACCTACATTAAAAAAGGTATTTTTCATATGAGATTCATAATGTATTAACAATTTTCTTCCGTGATCTGGTATTTAAGTCTGTCTTTCATTATATTCTAACAATACAGTAAAAATTTCTAGCTGGAGACTGGTTGGGTTGCTCCATGTTGGTTGTATTTTTAGATGCAGCAAAAATGAAGTTCTTCACTACAGAGTGTTCGTCTTTGCAGAGTTTCATGGGAGAGACTTTTGGGAGTGAGAAGAAAGCAAAATGCATGCTTTAATCACTGTAACAATTTATAGAGGTGATTCTGATGCTGTGAGTAATAACCACCTCATTATCTTATGATAGTAACATCTTAATCCTTATCTGGCAGCAGCCTTTAAGCCAAGTCTTAAAGATACATTACTGCGCAACATTGATACCTAGTTTAGAACTGTCTCTACCCAGGCAGGGGCTGGGCAGAGCTCTTTGAAACCTATCCTCTAGGAATCTTTTGTTTAATAGTGAGAATAAGTCAAGTCGTGTGAATATTTCTTATGAGTAGTAAATTTCGTTATAGTGGATAATTGTGTTTATTTATTTGAAAAGCCGTGTTCCTGGGGTAGTTTAGAATTTATGTACACAGCTGTGTAAGCACATTCAACTGCTCTTCAAGAAAAAAAGATGTTTCCAGGAATCTTCTGAATACTTTTGCTTTCAGTACTAACTATAAGCCACACAACTCTTGTTATCACAGCAACTTAAGTTTGATAAAGTACTGTGAATCGACTGGAACAGTGTAATTCTTAGAAAGCACAAATGCTTCCTAGAATTCTCCGAGACATTTAACAGAACACTACCTAGAAGTGCTTGTTAATAGAAGCTGCTTTGTGGCTTTTCGTATGCTAAATTAATGYGCTAGTTAGTGAAGGAAAGAATCATAACTTCCTCATGATTGGCAATTCTTTTTGGCAAAAAAAAAAAAACCCAAAACCACCGTCAGGTCATTTCTACTATCAGTGTGCAATATACTGCTTGGTAAAGATTTTCAATTGCATAGCATAGTAGGGATGTGTCTGACTTTGCCAAAGTGCTCTTCTAACCATAATATTTAATGTTGTAAATATAAATCCTGTAAAAATTATTCTAACTTTTGCTGCAGCTCTGTAGGGATCTGTTCTTCTAATTTGTTGATTAGCTGGTATATGAGTCCTGATTTTTCATGGAAGATAAACTGTGACCTTGTAGTGAGCTGCTTGCGTTTTATGTGCCTGGAGAAATTTCTTGTTTGCTGAAGTATGTTCATATTAAATTATTTTTATGCTTTTATTCCCTTCCCCTTTCTTGGAGGGAAAGGGCATTGAGGGAAAAGTGAGTGAAGCAGGGTGAGTAATGGCTGCTTCCTGACCTAAAGTACTTCTTGTCTTAACAGTTGGGTCAACAAAAATGCAAGGATGTAGCTGCCCTTGATTGAATTTCAAGGTTTTTAAACTCAATGTAATGACTTTTCTTCAAATATCCAACAGTAGAATGGTTTTATTATCTGTTTAATTATGTAAATTCACAGTGCATGTGAATGTGATCTCSACAAACATGAGATCTCTCACTAGAAACTGCCTCTGCTCTTTAAGCTAGTACTRTATTTTTGCTAGATATCCTTGGCAGTCGTTACCTAGACCTTCTTGTTCTCTTCATTCCGGAGTACAATTTTTCCTCTTTCCCTTGCTCTCCACACTGAATAATCATATTCCCCTGCAAAGATTTCAGCAGCCTCCCGAGTTCACCCACGGTCATGTTGCATCACAGAAGCTTCCGTCTTCATTCCTCTTTTTCCCAAAGTTTCTGAAGGCTTCCTAAGCACACCTCTACTCRGCCAATAACCGTAACTGTTCCCCCTTTAGAAACAAGGGGCATGGAGGGGAGGAGATTTCGATTGTGTGGTTTCCTGGGGCRCTGCAGCTGTTCCAAGAAGTTCAGCTTTCACAGTAAGACAGCAGTGCACAGTGTGCCAAAGGATTCCCATGTAGGAAGCCGTTAAGAAAAATGTATTTACTGTAGTATTAGCAAATGAAAAAATGTTTTCAATACTTAAGGAAAAACAAAARACAGAATTCTTGTAGCTGAAGATGGTTATAAATGATGCCTTTCAAAACAGGCTAATGAAATGATGGTTGTTCTTTGTCACTTTTTCTGTTTCTTACATGCTGTGTGTCATTAATTTCTAAATCAAAACAAGAATCATYTGTTTGGGAGAGCAGCTGTCGAGAGCTCCTTGGGCCCAGAGCAGCTTCCTGAATCATTTGCCCGGACATAGAGGCCGGCGAGCGCAAGGCGACGCTCTTGGAGAACCTGCCTTGCATCCAGCCCACTYCAGAGGGCTGTGCTGGCATTCAGAGGGACCTGGACAGGCTGGAGAGTTGCACAGACAGGARCCYCATGAGGTTCAACAAGRACAAGTGCAGGGTCCTGCCCCTGGGCAGGAATAGCCCCAGGCACCAGCACAGATTAGGGGTCGACCTGCTGGAGAGCAGCTCCACAGAGAGGGACCTGGGAGTCCTGGTTGACACCAAGTTATCCATGAGGCAGCAGGRCCYTCGTGGCCAAGGAGGCCAATGGGCTCCTGGCTGCATCAGGAGGATGTTGCCAGCAGGACAGGGAGGGGATCCTGATCCTGCCCCTCTGCTCAGCTMTGGGGAGGCCAAACCTGGAGYATGGAGGGTAGTTCTGGGCTCCCCAGGACAAGAGGGACGTGGAGCTTCTAAAGAAGGTCCAGTGGAGGACAACTAAGATGGTTAAGGGACTGGAGCATCTCTCCTATAAGGAACGACTAAGCGAGCTGGGCCTGTTTAGCCTGGAGAAAGGAAGGTTGAGAGGGGATCTGATTAATATGTAAAAATATCTGAAGGGTGAAGGTAGGGAGGAAGGGGCCAAACTCTGCTCAGTAGTGGCCAGTGACAGGACAAGGGACAAGGGGTGTAAGTTGAAACCCAAGCAGTTCCGTCTGCATGTGAGGWGGAACTTCTTCACTGTGAGGGTGCCAGAGCCCTGGCACAGGCTGTCCAGGGAGGCTGTGGAGTCTCCTTCTCTGGAGATCTTCCAAACCTGCCTGAATGTGACTGGGTGTCCCATGCTCTGGGTGTCCCTGCTGGAACAGCGGTTTGGACTAGATGATCTCTAGAGGTCCCTTCCAACCTCAGCCATTCTGTGAGTCAGCATTAGTTCACAARCATTAGTTGCTTGTCAGTCACAAGATGTGCAGGTGTGCCACTGGACTAAACTYTGCTGGTTCCATTGCAGTTCAAAATGATTGGTCCATGTTTGAACTTTTCATGTATTCTTTTTAATTAACTTCAGAATTTACATTGCTTTCTTATTTTAAAAAGTGGACTTATTGCCTGTCAGCAAATTTAAGGGTTATGAAAGTAAGGATATATTTGCAAGGTTCTGTTAAAGCACTTAGCACAGAGCGCAGCAGCATTTTAATATTCAGTTTTCTTAATTTCTCAAGGCAATCAGAGTTTTCTTCATGCTCCGTTCACTGTCGCTGCACCTGCGAAGTGAGCCAGAAACTCAGTTACCCCTGACAAGGGAGGAGGATCTAATAAAGACAGATGATGTGCTTGACTTGAGTAAGTATTCCTCCCACTTTCTCAAATGCTATGACATGTAAAATAGAAAACAAACAAACAAAAACTACTAATGGTTGTTATCATGTATGTGCAATTGACTACCAAGACAGCAGTATTAAGTTTATCCTACTCTGGACTGGAAATGCTTTTTGTAGATGATTGGAGATGGGTGGGCATGAACTGTTCAAGTATCACAAGTTTTAAATATTAGCAGATAAAGGAATCTGAATCCTTCATTTGGTTTCCTGACAGAAATGTTATTTCTCTAAATTCTAGATCCTAGCAGGAATTTTATTTCCTATCCAGATTTCCTCTTTCACCTATTCAAAATGCATTGATATTCTTAAATCACACAGCAGCTTTCATCTTCCCCTCCTCCTTCCCACYCATATTTATTTTTCTATACATCAGTTCTGCCATTTAAAAGCTGGCACTTGATTTACAAGTTTAAATACAAAGAGTGTTGAAGATGTGCTTTGACATAGGGCTGTTAGTTGATGGGTGCTAAGTGCTTGTCTTCACTTGTGTTCAGGCAGTTACAGCATTAGGAACTTGTGGGAGAGCAGGTAATCACTAAAATAGTGTACTTATTTGTTACTTATTTGTCAGGATTTTAATTTTCAGATGTTTCTTACAAAAAAGGTTGGATTTGATAGGTGAGCCTTTAAATATTGGGATTGTAAGTGCTTGTTGATCCTTCTTGGACTAGAAGGGATGTGATTATTATGTCGAGTGTCTCAGAGATCTCTTGTGCCTCTCAAGTCCTTCAAGAATACAAAATATGTGAGTGAAGCGCCAAAATAAGCCAATATTCTGTGAAATCAGCGCTGTTGTGCAAGTAGCTTTATGGATAAAAAACATAGAATAATTTTCAATCAAAACATTAATATAGGATTCAGCTCATACTAGTGTTAAGGATGTGCTGTCTACACAAATTTGATGGAGTCTGAAGTGAATTTTAAGATTAAAGAGGGAAAAAAAAGAGAGAAAGTTGTGTTAATCTTGTCATCTGCCAGTAAAATAGCTTAAGTGTGGTCTAAAGCAATGGGGCTCTTACAGATGCCGGGAAATTGGCCAGTAGGAAGCATTTTTGCTTTAGAGGTAGTTCTTTAGAGAGATAATATTAGCAATTACAGCTAATTAAGTCAAGGAACCTAAGCAGACTTTTTTTTACTAAGTATTTAAAACTTTAAGTATTGAAAAGTAAACTAAGTATTAAAAAATAAATAAACTGTTTACAATCATTTAAATACTTGTGTACAAAATTGAGGCCATGTAAGACATTTTGCCTGGCGTAAGTTCCAAGCAGTGAAATGTTTTGAGGATCAACTCATTTATTTGCAAACGTGGAAGGAATGCTGTGGTAATGCAGGTAAGTGAACTTGTTAGAGATAAAATGTGCAAGCTGCCAGGTATCCCCCGTGCTGGTACCAGGTGAATATGAGCATTAGGCTGCAGTAAAGCCCACGGGGTAGATTGAGGAGATAGGAAAGTATGAGGCCAGTGTTTGTGTTTGGGTAGCTCTGCGGCCAGGGCTATGGAAGACTGATAGTTTAGTCATCTCAATTCCTGTTTTCTTAGTGCTTAAGAAAACATGTAGGGGAAATATATCCTAAAAGGTGCTCTTCAGTAGTTGTGTGCTTTCATCTTCATGAAAGCTGGCACTGTTTTGGCCTGGAGAATTAGTCAGAACGAGCAGTGCAACCTCACCCCTTTCAGCCTTTCTCCCTAAGGTATTCAGACATAAATGCCCACCTTGTTTTTCAGAACAGGTTGAAATTTACCCGCATGCCTGGTAGCAAAATGGCATAGCAGCTTGGAGAGGATTGATATGACTTGTGGTCATTGCAAGAAGCAAATGTTTTAAAAGTCTTTTAAAAACTGCCCTTGAAGTAGTTAAAGGGTGTACATTGGTGCTCTTTCTTCAAACTCCACCTGTTGATTCTGAGYCTTTACTCTTGCATAAACTTTGAAATCCATTTGTTTTTCTATCTAGGAGCTTTTAGTTTTACTTTTGACGTCCTCTCTTACTGCTTACTTCTAGAGAAGAAAAAAAAAGGAGAAAAAAAAAGATTTTTAAGAAGATTTTTTTTAAAAAGAGTTTAAACTCTCCTGGAGAAAATATGAGTGATACTGTTAATCACAGTACCTGGAGTATTAGTTGGCAGATAAGAAATGAAGCTCATGGTTGCCTTTCTCTTGACTCTAAAGAAGTAGTCGTACAAAGTTAACTCAGTTTCCTGTTTCTAATGAATTGCAGATTTATTGTCATGTTGACTGCCTTTCAGATAGCAAAGTGAAATAATGAATCAGCCTCTGCTGACAAAAGTGTTCTTCATAAATTAACTGGAAACATGACTATAAGGCAATTGCTAACTTTTAAGAATATGCAGAATCAGAAGTAAATCAAACAGGGACACTCTTTCTCCAAGGGCTGTTTGCTGGGCTGGAGACSATTGCTTGGCCTGGCTGGTCTCTCAAGCTGGGGAAGTGATGCTTCCTCAGCACACAGCTTGGTGAACTGCACTGCAGGTACTGGGCAAGTCACTGCAGGTGGCTTCTTATTTATGACACTTCATTTCTAAGAGTTGCTTTTATGCAAAATCTGAGGTATCCTTTTCTTGGAACTTGTAACTTAGACYGTAAATTACTCATTCTGCTTTCTGCTATACACGAGTGCTTGTAATACTGGTTACAGGACACTGTCTCATGAATGTGTCTGTTGTCCAGTGTGTGTTTGCACTTTTTTGTTATTTTTCTAAGGAAAAAAAAGAGAAAAAATAACCACAGGCACTTTCCTATGCTAAATTATAGCAGTGCATAGAAACCTAATTTCCAGTAGGGAATAAAACCATTGGTGGGGCAGAAAACTGGCCTATTTGTCAAAAAAACTACAGAAGAGGCAATAAAGTTAATGTTCCAGATGTTTTCTCTTTTACAGTACCTACATGGCTGAGGGAGTGAATATAAAGAGAAGTGTCACTGCCAGAGACTCAGCACTGATGGATGTGTGAGATGTGTTGAGGAGACTCCACGATTTAATGGTGCTCAAATGGTGCCTTGTTGCCAGCTGAGGGCAGCTAGAGACAAGTGCTGTGTGATGGGCAGGAGTGAGTGAGCGTTGATTATAACTTGRGGAGGGATTTCTGTGTGTTTGTAAACCAGACTTAAGTCTGTAGTGTCCTGTGTATTTGGCTTGCAAAGCTTATTAGCTCTTCTCTGACTCATTTTGCCTTTAGTGATGTAAAACTTGGAGCAGAAACACGCTCTACTCCTTTCTATCTGATGACTAATATTTTAGTTTTCAGAAGAATATTTTATCCTTTCCAGTACAGTAAACAAACTAAAATTTCAAAATAAAAAAGTTTTTGGATTCTCCTTTGAGTCAGTACTAAGCTGTTTATGGATGAGTGCTTAGTGGTTTTCTGCATTCCTGATAGAAATTTGCAGAAATGCCACTGAACTGCAGCACATCCCAGGAATGAGCTGAGACAGCTGCATTGCACTTAACTCAGTTTAGATAATTCCCAAAGCCCCCTCAAAAGCTTTGCTAAATCTCTCAGTGCCCTTTCTAAAAGGGTCTACAAGGGTCTAAAAGGGTCACTGGACCTTTAGGAAACAACCTTGTTTTCTTTAGCAACCAAGTTGAAAATATTAAACGATGAAACATATCTATAGTTTTAGGTRATTTCTAGTTTTTTGGATTTTTTTAACTTTGTTTTTGTTTTTTTTTTAATACGCAGACTATTTGACAATAGTTTACTGCTATCAAAATGGTAATAGTAATGTGGAGTTCTTCCCTATGTGTTTTTCATCCGACATGTGAGATCTTTTGAGTGCCCTGCTRACAACTGCAGCACAAAACTCAGCACGACTCAAAAATGTGAAATAGTGCCTTAAATGTCACCTGTCACTAAGGCTCCTGCAGGCTGTAAGTTTTGGTAGTGCAGTTGAAATGAAGTGTGGTTAATTAAAATGACCCTATGTACCACACRTAGGTAATCTTTGATTGCAAACCCCGGAACCTAATAAAAAAAAATGTAATTTACTTGCAGTCTTAATCTTTGGGGTAGTGTTTTCTTCCTTCTGTAAAGGATAAAAATTCTCATGAAGGGCAGATTTCAGCAACTGAGTTTGTCTTTGCAGAAGCAACCTCTCTGCAGTGYTTCTCCTTCAAGCAGCAGCCATATCCCACTGCAATAGGCAGTATGGATGTTACGTTTCCCACTCTCATACCCAGGCTGCGTGGTGCTGCCATTAGTGTATCTGGGAAAAAATGAGGATTTCCAGTTCAGTACATTCTGTATTTTGATTTTTTTGTGATGAACTTAAGGTAGTTTTGTTTTATTTTTAATGAAGAAACTACATGCATTGTAACCACTGCTTTATTCACCAAGTAGGTGAACCTGTTTTTCAGATGTTTTGACTACAGAACCAGTGTTCAGTATGGCATAAATCAGAAGACAGAAGACTTTGTATTATACAGGACTTCTAAAATGCCCACATACATTCACACATATKTCTCCTGCTTTGATTTTCAGAGGCAGAATCCATTGCAAACAGCCAGTGCCTGATCCAGTCTTTTATGTTGTGTATCTTCATGGCAGCGCTGCTTGTCCCCGCCGTCCTTATCCAGGCTATATATCCAGGCTGGGCCTGGCATTGCCCAGCAGCAAAGGCCAGGGAAAGCCAACACGTTGGCCTAACCATGTGGGATAAGTGCTATTGTAAAGGTACCCTGTCCTATGGAGAGATTAGTACTTTGCAGAACATGGCCCCCAAAAAGTAGTTACATATGGTTTTCTTTAGCTCTAATTTGTGGGTATTCTTGTTCTACTTATTCTACTTTGCGGGTATTCTTGTTTTAATTTCCCCAAATACTCATTGCTTCAGTACTTAAAATTTTCTGACCATCGGGATGCCTACAGTGATTATGCTGACTCCTATACATACAGTGTCAAGCAGTAATAGAGACTGACAAAATGCAATATTCATTTCACCTACCTCTTCCTTTTATTTCTTTTTTTATTTCCAGCAAGCTCACAGGACTCGCTCTGTCAAAATGGCTTTCAGGTTTGGCTGGAGTGGGGCGTTTAGTCCCCACATGTATTCCCTGGTATGTCGACATGGAGTGGCCGTAGAGGGACACTGTAGTGTTGGGTGAAAGCAGCAGTGTTGCGCAGGACCTTGGTGGGGAAGGTTAAGGCATTTTTTATAAAAATCATTTTAGCATTTTGAGGCAGATGTGGCCAAGGTTGGCTGTAGCTGGAAGGCTCTGGACACTGTATGTGGCTGTGAATTTAGAAATGAGTCAGGTGTTCCACAGAACCCGGGCGCCCTGCTGCCAGCAGCACGGTGACACTGGTACTTTGCAGTATTGTTTTTTGCTGTAAACAGCTGTGAAGCAGTTGCAGTTGTATGAAAACCTCCAGCCTGAGGCTGCGTCTGCGGCGTTCGTAGGTGTCTCGCGTAGGAGGCTGCTTTAACTCTCCACAGAAGCTAACCTTTCACRTGAAGTTCAGGGGCAGATCACGCCGACTCTCTCTGTGCTTTGATCTTGGTTTCAGGCGGTTGGTTCTRCTAACGACAGCCATCAGGTTGACCTTTCTTAAGAGTTTTATCCCAGGTTTATCCCAGAACGATGCCCAGCCTGGTGCTGCAGGCAGGGTGGGCCTGGCAGGTTGCTCGGAATCACGTCCTCTTCCAAGCTCTCATCTTCTGTGGCTGCAGTGGTGGCTCTGCCACCCCTGGGCAAACAGGCCCAGTGTTTGACCACTGCACAATAAAGAGAAAACGCCTCTTCTGCAGGACGCTTGAGACTTGATAGGCAGCTAAGAGAAAAATCAGTCTTGTGTGAGAAGTGGCAGCAGAGGCTTTCATTTGAAACACCAGCACACACCTTGGGCCTGAATCACATCAGGAGACAAGATCTGACAGAACTCATCTCCTACCTCATGGATGTCCAGTCTTACACTGATGGCATTGTACAAGAACTTAATTTGACTGTTTTGCCTTTAGACTTTTTCTGCTGAATTTAAGAGTACTGCTTTAAAATATTTCAAAAACCCACGTGCCTAGCAGGAGCTGATGTTAAGTTGTATTAGCTGAGAACATTGACTGCAGCACCCCATGTGTGGTTAGCATCTGTGATATATTGCAGCTTGTATTTTGGATTACTTTCAGATGGAGAGAAAGAAATATTAGCTTGTATTTAGAGGAATAAATTACCTAAAGATCGTAATGAAAGAATGATGGGATCTTAAAATCCTCTGTGGTGGCTGTTAGATTAAATCCTTCTAAATAGATCAATCACTTCTGTTATTTCTTTGTTTATTTGAGTATACTCAAACTGAGCCCTTGAAGCTGATTATTGTTATATCACATATTTACGGCGATATTTTTGCATGTTCTGTGTTAAGACAAATGTTTAAATTGACTTCAAAAAGTAGTAGACTCTTGCAGTAGTAGATTTTTTCCTCTCATACTGAGAAAAAATAAAGTGACGTGTCCTCTGGTTTGCACTCGGGAATCCATGCTCTCGATTTCTCCTCTTTCCCATTTGCCACCTCTGTTCTTCTCCACAGAGCTCTTTGATCCTCTCCAAAGTTCTCAAACCTCCTTTCTTCTTCAGTAGCTTTTCTTTTTAGTCAGTAAATCTTGTGACATGGTAGTTTAACTTACAAATCCATCAAACTGGGAGGAGTGGTGTCTAGCACGTGAAATGCAGAGAGGATAAACACCGTAGTGTGAAGCATGTGCACGTGAGAAGCTCTTATTTGCCATAGTCATGGCGGTTGGTCGTGAGGGAAGACCTGTATTTAGGTGATTGTATTAATTTGAAGCAAAGAAAAAGCAATTTAGTAAGATCAGCAAAAGCCTCCTAGCAGAGRTTTGTGCCAGTTTATGGGATGCTCAGTAGACTTCAGCTGGTGTAAAGAGTGGGATTCCAGTTGTTTCCCAAGATTGATGGGTTTGAACTGGAACAGATGCAACAAGATTTTGAAAACATCAGGAAACAGGGTATTTATTTCTTGAAGCCTGCGGTCTAGGGCTTGTTCAAGGGTTTGGGCAACCCTGGAGTTCAAGGGTTTGTTCTTGGCTTAGTGTAATGGTTAAGGGAAATGGTTGYGGAATATATATCCATAAAGCAGATGCATTAAGGAAAAGATGTCAGCTCATGTAGCCAGTATTGGAAAAAAAAATGATACAGCTTGTTTGGAGAGTCCATGTAGCCTTGAAGTCAGAAGACTTGTGAAAATCGGCATCAAATTTCAGAATAAACTTTCTAGTAGTAGCAAAAAAAAAAAAAAAAAGAGGAAAAAAAAAAGGAAAAAAGAAAGTCCGAATGCAGCTTAGTTTTATGAAAACCTCTCTGCAGTGACGAAGGACTGTGTCTTTCAACAGACTTTTAGACTTCCATTCATTCGGTGAAACCAAYATTGATGCAAGTATGTCCTGAAATTAAGTGACCATTTATACCTAAAGGCAGTGATGACAGTAGTAAAAGAGAACAAGGTAAAAGAGAAGAAGCATGTATCAATAAATAACCTGTAAGATGCTTGGGCCACTATAGTGAAAACATACCCTGTTCCTTCAGTGTGACTGTGAGTGTAACAGATGATTGTGCTTTGTGTGTTAACCCTTTCACGTTTGCCTCTCTTCCAGATAACAGTGATCTCATTGCCTGTACGGTGATAACAAAAGATGGGGGRCAAGTTCAAAGGTTCCTGGCTGTGGACATTTACCAGATGAGCTTGGTGGAGCCAGATGTTGCCCGACTTGGCTGGGGAGTCGTGAAGTTTGCGGGTCTTTTGCAGGTAAGGGAGGTTTTTAACCTGCATACATGTATTTTGCTCAGGTGACAAACTGTATTCAAGCAGTATAATGCCACCATTAATATTGGTATATGAATATCAATATTATCTTACACTTGAGCTTTGTTGCATGCTTACCTGCTTCTGCTGTTACATAAGTAATTTGTGCTTTTAAGAGTTTTCAGTTTTATAAAGTTTATATGGCTAAATAGAGGGACACTTAAAAATGAGGTGCCTCTCCCACTATATTTCAAAGACCATCCCTACTTGTTAACAGGGTGTGTTTGTCTGATCACTGAAATCCTACAGAATTAGGATTGAGCCCCAAGTGCTTTTTTTCTCAACACAATAGTGTTGGAGTTCTGATCCTCCTATGAAAGGAGGGAGGGTGACAGGTTTACCATGACCTCTGCTTATACAGCTACTTTCAAAAGCTTAGAAAGRTTTCATTTATGTCTGTTCCTTACCTTACAGCAGCATTAATGCTTTTATTTCCTGAAAGTTTACAATGCCTAAGTAACTGAAACAGATTTTTGACTGACTTAACATCTAAAAGTACCAATTTCTAAATTCTTGAATAATAAAAGTTTTCTTAAGAGTTTTAAGTGATGATTTAATCATTAAAAAAATCCTCCTCAATCTCTAGGTTTAAATGYTAACTTTTTCAGAAGTTACTTTCTTCTGTTTCTTTTCAGGATATGCAGGTAACAGGAATAGAAGATGACAGTAGGGCTCTGAACATCATAATTCATAAACCTGCTTCTAGTCCTCATTCTAAGCCCTTCCCTATCCTTCAAGCTACGTTTATTTTTTCGGATCACATTCGCTGTATTATAGCAAAGCAGCGTCTTGCTAAAGGTCGGATCCAGGCTCGGCGTATGAAAATGCAGAGAATAGCAGGTTAGTGGTTGTTTTCAAATCGTAAATCACACTGAAAGGCAAGATTGGTTTGCAAAAAAAATCAGAAGTGAGAGGGCCCTTAAGAACTTAAACAGGTTTGAGTTTCCAGTAGTTTTTATTGGAGTAAAATTTATATTTAGATATMTGAGTGATAAGCATCACATCAAAGAGTGGATGAAAAAGGAGGAATTGCCTGTCATGGTGCTATAATGCTTAATGCTTGGGCATGATGGCAGTGAACAATCTGAAAAGCTAGCAGCTGGATTTCTCAACATTTGCTGTCCTTTCCAGTAGTTAATAAACTGTATACTGTAGTTAATAAGTAAATGCAAGTGCATTTTTAAGCAGTCTGCTGATAGTGTTAAGTTTCTGGGCCAACTGCATTTTATTTTCACTTCTTCTTCCTCTTATGTATTTTTGGGTAACAAAAGTTATCAATTGTTATTAAACGTAGCTCTCCTGGATCTTCCTGTCCAGCCTTCAACTGAGGTTCTGGGTTTTGGACACAGCTCTGCAGCTATGTCACAACACCTTCCATTCAGATTTTATGATCAGTCCCGGCGTGGTAGCAGTGATCCTGCAGTGCAGCGGTCTGTTTTTGCCTCCGTGGACAAAGTTCCAGGTAAGACAGCACTCATTATCATGTGTGGCATTATCAGAAGGTTGCTGGCCACGGTGTTAAAATGATTCTTTTCCCCAAAATTGTTGAGGCATGTGGACTGCTTCTGAAGTAGAAAAATAGCCATGGTTTGCTACTCTGAAGTAAAACATTCAAAAACTGCAAATAGACCTCCAGTCTAAATGTTTATGGTTCAGCCTTTGAATTCTCTGGTAGGTTTTGTTGGGGAGGCTCTCTGCTTTGGAATAAGCTTCCTGAGGCATGCAGCAGGATTCTGGGAAGCTGGTGCATAAATGGTGTATCCTTTTTGCCCTTGCAGTGTGCAGAAATTGGGTGATGCCACCCATATCTTGAACGAAAATCCCTTGGCTCTGTAGGAGATGTTGCTGCTCACAAGGCTTGGTGTGCACAGCCATAAAAGCATTGGGATCGCTGCAGAGAAGTCTGAAGGAACCAGGGAATGTATGTAGGAGAGGTCACACTTTATAATCAGCTTGAGTTCCACATGAATATCCAGTATAATATTTTAAATACAAATAAGTAATGATAACTACAGTTGGAGAGCTTAATGTAAATTCAGTAGTTCTTTCTATATGTTCGGTTTCCTAGGGCCTCAAACCTCCAGTTTATAATATTCAATTAACAGGTCAGACCATTAGCAGTAGCTGATACAGCATCTAGTGAACATAAATAGTTTGTCTTGCACTTCCAATTTACTCAGTTTCACTGAGCTGTTGGGAATTGTTAATAGTGAGATTAACTTTTTTGCCTGCTGCTCTTAAATTTTGTGGCTTACATCTGCAAAAGCTGAACTATACCATTYGTGTTAAAAGTGAAGAGTTTTTACATGTGATGTGTGTCTGAACACAGTTTCAGGATGAGGCTTATGGAAAAGCCTGTGCCACGTGCTCTAGGTGACCCTGCTTGAGCAGGGGAGGTTGGACTCGATGACCTCTGAGGTCCCTTCCAACCTTCGGCATTCTATGATTCTATGATTTACTCACAGGAGAACAGGTAATATCAGGGTGTGTATATACCAGGTGAGGTATATTTCAATAGTGGTTTCTCCAAAAGCTCTGAAAGTGTCTTAATACTTTGTCATCCTTTACAAATTGAGTTGAAATATGAATCATCATGTTGCACACGTTTGGTATGYAGCACGTCAGTCAGTTGTGCACATTTCTTGTGCTGAATCAGTTAGGATCATCTCTCCAGTGCATCCAGATAGCTGGGATACTGAGCACTAACAAGACAGAAAAAGCCCAGGACTGCTCCTAAAACATCAGCTTTGAACARGATGGGAGGGATAATTCTGAACCGAGGTTTGCTTTCTGTCAGCTCCTCGTTTCCTCTTCCAACTGACCTCTCTGTGGAGTTTTTTTACCTCCAAATAACGAAACTTTCCCCTTATTTTTGTAAGTTGAACCTCGTGCTGTTTGAAACCACTGAATTTTGCTGTATTGGTTCAAAAAGATGCACGTTGTCACTGCTAGCTGCCAGTCGCTGTGCAAAGCTCCGTGTTTCTCCATCCGCGCCGTGCACAGACGAAGAGCAGGCACTGAAACGCAGTCCAGGCCGTACGAGCCCGCGCGTGTTCTGCCGTCCTGTGACACTTTTGCCAGGTGTCCTGCATGTGGAGAACACAAATAATACAAGCTTTCATATTCCAGGTCAGGTTTTCCAAAAGGCAAATTTAGGCTGCATCACAAAAATGTATTTCCTTACTGTTTTTGACGTAAGACTTCCATGGAAGAGGTGTGGTTGAAAGGATGCCAGCACTCTGGATATTATCTTGCTATTGCAGGATCARCCTTCTCTCGGAGTACACCCTGAGCCATAACAAGTGACTTCATCTCCTGATTTTATTTACTTATTTGTTTATTGGCACATGGCAGCCGGTTCAAACCGCAGCTCACTTGCTTTGAACTCCAGGAACTGGAGTCTTTCAGTGGGTGACTTGCAAGCCTGGAGAGAAGCAGCATGTGAAGCTCTTCTCCCAAATCAAGTATGAAGAATTGGACACAGTACAAGCTTTCAAATGTGCACACAGTATGTGTGTTTTAAATGCTGTCTTTTCCAAATGCTACTGGTGGTAGCCAGCAAAAATGGTAAAATAAATATATTGCTACCTCTCTTGCCTCTGATTATAAATTAGATGCTTGATCTTTTTACCTTATCTACAGTAAACAGTGGAAGAGGATTCCTCTCTGTCCCAGATTTTCACACAAGTCTTTGTGCTTATCTGTGATTTTTAGTTTAATAGAAGTTTCTTGGAGGCTTGTTTCCAAAATGACTGAACAATCAACACTTTTGTGTACTTGTTTCTTAAAAACCCCTGTTGTTTGAGTTATGCAGAACTTATACTATGGGGGGGAAAAGCCAATATAGCAAAATGTTCACTGTTTTAATAGAAACAAGTTCCATTTCCTTCAGTGATGGTAATTTTTTTCTTGGATTAAAGGAGAGTTAGTAAAGAAAGTTTTGCCTGGCTGCTTGCTGAAGGTCGCCTGCAAACTCCCCAGATGGGAGTTTCTCTAAAGGAGGTGACTAATCCCTCCAGTGCCCTGAGAGGCTGCTCTATAAAGAAATAAACTATTGGGTGGTGCATTTGCTCTATCCATACCTGAATGTCGGGTACTTCTCCCTGTGTAGTGAAGACAGCAAGTGTTGTGTTGTTGGCTGTTCCCTACTATACATGTTACAGCTATTTTAGGTAATTCTACTGCAAATAAGGTATTTGAAACAACAAATGAGTATATTTGCCCTTTGTAGAAAGCAAGGAGGAAAAAACTGCTAAAACAAGGTACTTTTGGAACACCTGACTTYTTTTTGGTCCTTCTTTGCCTGTCACCTCCCTCCTTTCAGCCTCTTTCCACAAATGACTCCTGTGTGCTAGGCCAGTGTTTCAGCGAGTTCCAGCAGTCTCCCAAAGAGGCTCCTGTGTTTCTGTTCATGTTGAGGTGAAGTCCCAGGCAATCGTGTGCCTTCGCTATCTGTAAAKGTCTGAAATTTATTAGTTTACATTTAATTTGAAAGTCTCGTAGACAATCCAGCTTATTGTCTGCATGCACCAATATGTGCGTGCAAGCCGAAGGCCCTGTGCCCTTTTGGAAACCTTGAAGGAGCAAGTGCACAATTCCTATGTATGGAGGAGGGAAAGAACTGAAGAGACTTGCCAGCTGTCAAAGACTGAAGTGAGTGGAAGGAGGAAGAATTGCTGGATCATATCAGAATAGGAGAAAAAGCCACAATCAGAACAACATGAGGGAAGACAGAAGAAAACTTGTTTAAAAASAGCTGTCAGACACTCTGTTAATTTTTTTTGTGTTCTAGATTGGAGAATGTTTGGCTTATGAGAAGAAGAAGAGTAATAAGTGAACTCTCCAAGGTAATTACTTACCAGTCAGTCTTGTTGTCCTGTCTTGCAGGCTTTGCTGTAGCCCAGTGTATAAATCAGCACGGTGCATCACCACTCTCATCTCCATCTCCTTCAAGTGGGAGTACGGGGCGCTGCGATTCGGTGACTGCGAGCTCAACCTCCACTCCCTCTGCTGCACAGAGCCCAGCAGGTATTAAATCACTGTTTTCAGCCTAGGAGCCAAGGGATTATACGTTAGTTTATAGTAAGATTATTTTACTGAATAATTGGATTAACTACATGCTAGGACTTTAAAGTACTTGGTTGTTTCTGTAAATCAGTTTAAGTATATTGCAATGCAAAATAGTGATCTTTTCAGGTTTCTGGTACTTGACATAAAGACTTGACATCTTCCAGCAATGAGCTTAAGTACTGGTTAAATGACTTCCTCCTTGTCTGATTTGTCTTCTAGCACATACAGCTTTATTTTTAACTGAAATTATTGGCTTGCATAAAGTTACAGTGGGAGGGCTCACATGAATCATCTCTTCCTAACCGAGCAGCATTTGCCTTTGTGTTTAATATTTATTACAAATTAACTATCCATACAACAAATCGTTCTTCCTTTATGTGTTAGACTAGTAAAGAAACCTGTAGCTGTGTATTCTGAATGCCAGTTATATRGTAGATGGCCTCAAGATGGAGCTGAGCAAGAAATTTATGAAACAGCATCTTGAAATGCTTTCATTCTGCAACAGCACTGGTCCATTTAAACAAACAAAACCCCCTCGAGACGTTTTCAAGCTCTCCCTTCATTTTGGGAGTCACCTGCAGGGCTGGTCAGTCTTGGAAATGATTGTTCYGGGCCCCTCTATTATGGCCCAGCATTTTACCTTCATTTGAAAGCCTCATTTCAAAAAGTTTAAACTTTTTCTGCAGTCTTACCAGGAATGATGCAATCTTTATTATGCATTTAGTGTTCTCTAGGTCATGAAATGCCTTAGTATCCCTGAACACTGCCAGGAGATCAATATGCWCTATATATCTGAATGGCTACCCTTCTTGCAAGCAGCACCACATAACAGGGGAAGCAAAGGCTGCCTGTGGAGTTTATGAACAGTATGGAAGGCAGCCTAGCCCCCAAGGGCCAGTTAGAAACATGTTATGATAAACTCACATATAGTCAAAATATCCTTGCAGTAGGAACAATTTCTGGAATAGAAGTTGTGGAGTTTTATGCGACCTATTCAAAACTGTGGAAGGATCTCATTTCATTGATGAGTGATTACCGTTAATTAGCCTTTTGAGGGAGTAGACAAACAGGAGGCTGCACAAAGGGAAGAAGTGCTAGGATTTGTCAAGGGCCCTTCCTGCTGCTGCTGGGTCCTCTGTTCTGTTTGAATCCTCAATGCCATCAAGAAGTGAAACAGCTACAAGTTCTTGGCAATGCTGKCTAAGGGAAAATTGTGGTTAAAAAAGATTTAAAAATACTTTTTTGCTGTAAATAATATGATAGTTCACAGAAGTATCCAACAAGAGCATACTGCATATTTCAGATAGAAATCTTTTCAAGTGCATGTCGTCTGACTTCTGTGAAAGACCGAGTAGATGCAGAGCACATAATTCCCCATGTAGTATAACAAGATAGTGCATTAAAGAAGAATAATCACAGACTTCAATTACAAAAATAATACTACTTACTCAGCATGCAGGCACTTCTTTTTCCTTCAGTGAAAAAAGCCTGGTGAGAGGAGACTAATGTGTTTTGTTAGTTTGTTCACAAAAAAAAAATCAAAGGAAGGTTTTGAAAAGTCTGTTTTTCAGTGTCTGCACTTTACATGCATGAACTGCCCTTATGTAGCATGACCTGCATGGTGGCTTAATCAAAATGTGTTCAAAATGCCATGTGTCATGCAGGAAAGAACATCCCTGCTCTTCAGGCAGGATCTCGGGGCACTGCTAGGGTGTGATTTGGCAGAGCTAGTTGWGAGGACACAAGAAGTCTGCCCTGCTGCTTTGGGGTAGTGACCTTCAGCAGCGCTGGTGGAAACACGTGGGAGAATCTGCTTCATGAAACGACACCCCGGACGGAGCCCTTGGRACAAAGGACAAAGTCACACGCTTTGCAGTGACCTGTAGTGTCCGAGCARTTTGGTGGCCTGTGTTTCTGGGAGCAGCTTTTCTGCATTAGCTGATTTATTCAGATTAGTGCACGTTGGTAGTRAATACCAGCAAAGCTGGTGTTTTTCCTCCTCAGTGAGAAACTCAGCCCCTTTTCACTAACTTGCAGGTTATTGAAGCTGAGCTGCCTTACTCTGCTGAGAGGTAGGGAAGGGTTACATGGTGTGAAGGGGCAAGAAAGATTGTCACCGCTTCACAGGGGGGATAACAAAGAGCTGGTGGACAGCAAGCAGAGGTACCAAGGTGTGTTTTGTGCCCCGTGGTAGCACTTCGCTGCTGCCACCAATCAGTCATATTCAAGTCTCCCTTCTTGTTTTAAACACATCCCGTTTTAACCACATACACACATGTGTGCACACATGGGTGCTCCCCGTCCTTCCCTGCCATATTTTCTGCCTGCTGATGAGGTGGTCGCCTTGAAGAACAGGGTAAGAATCTGCCCAGGTTGCCCAGGGAGCTCAGTCCRAGAAGGGCAGCCAAGAAAAGGGGAGGTGGTTACTTGGACTTCAAGAAAACTGCTCCAGCTGCCTTCTTGAAGGAAAAACATCTCAAACCATGACAGCTCTTCTGCAGTAAGCCCGTGCTTGTGCTGTCCTAGCCCTCAAGAGGTGCAAACCGTACCAAGTTGGGTCCGATTGAAGTGAAGCACTTCCAAGCTTCATAGGACTCTGGAACATCATATATGGATGTTGGCGTAGAGCAGTGAATGAGAGTGAAATAGAGAGAAGTTGTATATTAGCAGAGAAAGAAACAATGCACGAAGTAGTGCATCTATTGACAGGTACATGTAAAAGAGCTTTTGCAAAATGTATTGCAGGCAAGAAAGAACTTGCATTAAAAACACTGGCTATCACTCCTTGGTGACATCCTTACTTAACGTGAGGAGGGAGCTTAACTGGAATGAAATTGTCTGACTTCTGTGCATATTTCAGTCACTGTAAGAGAGCAAGAGTTGCACTGACTGCTTCTTAATGAAGAAATTAATCTTTTCCCGAGCTTACCAACTGTCCTGATAACTATCACAACACTTTATGGCGCTGGCACTTCAAACCCAAGCTGCTCCCATACTTAGAATAATTGAGGATGAAGTTTAGCCTTTTGCAATGTCTTTCCTCCTCAAAATGGAAAAAGCAGAAGCTGTTCGTTGAAGAAAGGAGAGTCTCTGTCAAGACAGGAAAAGCAGCATCAGGTTCTGAAAGTGCTGCTGTCAGGTTGTTTTTTATATGCAAATATTTTCAGTTTGTTTATATATTAAGTTTTAAATGAACATGTCTGTGTTGCCATGCATAAGATAAAAATGTTCTTTGGCTAGGCAGATTTTAGTCATTAAGCTGCACTTACTGAAACTATACACTTTTGTGAGGTACTTATTTTCATATATAGCAAGAATTAAGATAAAGAAGCTTTCTTACAGTGAGTTAGCATTCTTCCAGGACTGCCCGTGTGTAACTTCAGCTATGCTGTATTTTATTACTTTTTAAGTTGTTTAAGGCTCTCAAATGCATTTGACTCCATTACTTCAGAAAATATTTATGCTAAAGCAGTGGCTATCAAGGACTTCAGGAAGCATTGATCTTCTGTGCCGTTTATGCCATATTTCATGCTTTTGGCAGATATTGATGGTAAATTGTCTAAAATAAGTAGAGAGCTATCCCTTGTTGCACAGAATCAATTGGATTCTAGTCTGTAAAATAATATATATGTGTATATACATATATATACACATACACACCAGCAAGAGGATGCTTAATGAAGCATGGAGCTCCTGTAAAGGCATTGCCTGTCATCTTCCTGAACCCGTTCCTCTCTCCCCTCTCTGAGCAAGAATCTAAATGTGCCRTGACTGTTTCTGTTCTATGATGCTAGGAATTTTCTAAATAAGTAAGAAATACTTTTGTTTCTTGAGAGTTTCATTTCTGAAACTTTCTATGCACCAAGCTTCGCCATCCTAACTGCTGTTATCTGTTAAAAATTCTACATTTGTCTTTATTATAATCCAAATGCAATACTTCAGTTTTCTGGCGTAGGGAAGCAGCGCTTCACGGTCTGAAGCACTGTCACCCTCTCAGTAGTACTCTTATTTATTGCCAGTGAGAATAATGCTATTTTACCAAGATCTATATGAAGATATCTTCTTTTAATCTAATTTTAAGGTGTGAGTCATACTGTAATGCAGAGCCCTGCCATTCCAGCTCAGTGTAACTGCTGTCAGAATTGCAAGGCTTAGCCCAAAACACAGCACGTACATTTCCAGATAGGTAAGAAAAAAAGAACATCAGTTAAATGCCCTTTCATTTCCAAAGAACAAGTACTTCCGTCTGTAGATGTGTTTTCCACACTGACAAAGCTCTTGGTGCAGCATTAAACAGTCCTCRAGATAGCAGCAGTTACGGATGTGTCCTTGTCACTTACTCTTGTTGCTGCTCTAACGTTTACCCTTTGTCTTCCCTCCAGTTTCCCTTCCCCGTCTCGCTGTTAAAGCCTTCGTATGATATATCACTGTGTTTCCCTCTAGTAAGATCTGGCAGGAAAGGACGACGGCGGGTGTTTAGTCTGTCGGAGGCCGACAGTCACGGTGGACACTGGGTTTAGGTCTTCAAGCAGCAGCTGCAGCCGAAACTCCCGCAATATCCATTCAGGCAGGTTCCTCCACAAGCTTTCCAAAGCCCATGGGGCTGAACAGAACATAATGATGTTTGATTGCCCTGCGAACAGCAGCGATGGAGATGCAGGGGTACTGAGGAAAGGGGCTCAAATATTTGGCTGTCCATCCTGAGAACCATGCAGCAGTGATTAGCTGCTTCCCTAAGCCTCTTACTCAGTTTTTTCCATGATTTGTTACTCCCTGGCCAAAAGTTGGAAGTCCTGCTTAGCAGGAAGTCATATATCAAACCTCCAGCTTCAAAGCAGCTCTCCTCATCTGCACAGGGCTCAGGTTYCTCAATGGGCAGGCGTGCAGGTAAAAGACAGAAATAGACTGAAATAGATTGCACACTTGTTCATTTATAAAAACTTTTTTTTAACTTGAATATATTTCTTTTTTTTTTTTTTCCCAACCATCATGGCATGAAAATATTATACTCTCTTCATACTATGGGAACATGCTTTGTTACTGTTATATATTTGCTTTGAATGCTCTAGGGTCTTTTGTTTTGTTTTCCATACATACTTTATTGCTCTGCAGATTAAGATACTTCTCTCTTTACTATGTATTATGTTCTTTCCTTGTCCTGTTCCTCTCTACCTTCTTTCCCTAATTGTCATCCTTACATTCTGCYGCATGTGATTTGTTTTGGAATTTTTTCTGTAATAACAACCTTGGTAGTATTATAGAAGAACAAAATTTAAGCTTGCTCAACATTTGATTTCCTTCTGCACCCAGAGCTAATGTTCTCCTCTTGTTTTTTGTTTTGTTTTGTTTTGTTTCTTCCAGTGAGGTTGCATCTTGCTAATTGTCTCTACCAGTTTCATGGACTGCAAGACTTCAGATCCTACATAAAACATATTTATATATTTAGATCCTTTTCAGAAGTGGATCTGAACTCAAACTGAACCTTTAAGTTTGTAGCCTTGTCCTGAAACTATGCACTCACTTAACTGAGAAATATTACGCATACAGTCKTTTCAGATCAAGATGATGATCCATTTTTTGTCATTGTAATTTTTTCTTATATTCCAGGATTTTATACCCAATTTGGATTTTCTTTCTGCCCCTGCAGCRACTAGGGGCAATTTGCTGATCCCTCGTAACGTTGGCACTGATGCCATGGCGGGTTACGGCAAATCGGCCACTGCTGCCCTTAAATACTGTAAGAGAGGAAAGGAAGGGAAGTTCAGACTAATGGAGTATTGAGAGGAGAGGAAGAATTACTGCTATCGATGACAAATAGCACAGGAGAGCTCTACTTTTGCTTTTCTATTTATAAACACTGCAGCTGAAATTAAAGGAAACAGCAATTTTTGTTCTGCTCACTTTTTTTTTTGGAATCCACTATCTTTTTTTTTTAATGTATTTTCAGAATTTTGGATGGAAATTTGGAGTTTGATTCCAGATGCTTTTCCAAGGAGACTCTTTTTCAGATATTTCTTTTACTTTGTGGAATTAAGGGGATCTCTTTTCACATTCATTTAGATCCTGCATGGAATGATGTGGGACAGCATAGCATAACAAAAGAATGTTTTGCTATCCATCAGGATTTCAACCAATTTTTTAGGAAGTTTGTCAATATTGTAGGGAGTTGAGAAGCAAAAAGAATGATTAAAGAAGTGCAGTGCACAATTAAAAGCAGCAGACCTGCAAAAGGAATAATGCTGTCATATGCTATTTCTGACCAGAGTATCACTTATACTCTTTATACTCATATACTTTACTTCCCTGTAAGCCTCTGGGATCTGAATCCTGAGTTTTTGTGACTTATTTTACCATACTTCTAGATCAAGAACTTTCTTGGCAGTGTGTAATATTTCTTTTTTTTTTTTTTTTAAGATTCTGTAAACTTAGAAATTAAAACCACCGCCAAGAAGCTCACTTTTGTTTTAACATGTTTAAGTGTTTGCATTTATCTTGGAATTCAGAGAATTGAGGCTTTATTTCAATATTTTCTTAGCAAGTCATTTTTCTACGCAAACCTTTCATCACTTCCTCTGTTATCAGTATYGTGTTCTCACTAAAGCTTCCTGACAGCTAATAAGAATCTGCAGAGTTACCCCTGCATCTGTCCTAGTTGTTCAAAGTTAATGATGTCCTCAAAAGAGATGAGTGGTTTGGGGTTTTTTTTTGCTTTGTTTTGGTTTGCAATCTATAAAAATTATTTTTCTTTGTTAAAGCAAGCAGCTTTAGCACAGGCTCAGCAAAAAGTAAAATTTAGTGATTCTCTGAGGTGAAAATACACCTTTGTTTGGGTTGTTTCAGCAGAAAGATGAGAAAACAATTGTCTTTTACTGATATTCCAGATTACTCATTCCTTTTTTTTGTTTTTGTTTTTAACTTAACAGAGTGCCTGTCATTCCATGCTTTGTTTTCTTTTCCTTGCCTTCTGTTCCTGTTTTSTGTTAATTTGCAGGAATGATTGGAATCGTATCAGAAGTGCTACATTTTGAGGTGGTTGTGTGATAAAACCAAAATGAATTCCTAGATGTTATATGCACTGCGTTGCCTTGAAGATTTTTCTGCAGATGCCTGTCCACTTGAACCCAGGCTGTTTATTATAAGAGCTCTAAAAATGGGCTGGCTTGAAGCTGGATACCTGTTACTTTAATGACATCAATTACCCTAATCTGGAAAGAAAAACATCATCTTGTCTGGGAAGACTTGCCCATATTGGGCTCTACCTCCCGCTGTTCCCTTCATTCAGAATCCAGCTGAGCTGAATGATCAGTTTGCTTCATACTTAGCTAGGATTTTAAGGCAGAAAAGGGCAATACAGGCAGTGCAAGTAATTATTTAAAATGTTTTTCAGTGGGTGGGAAGACTTAGCAGCACATCAGTTTTCTGTGTGATGCAACGGCTTGTTCCTGGTTTTATCCAGGCAGTGCTCCAAGCATATGGGCAGAAAAGGCCTTTAACAGAAGTCTGCATCCAAACAGGCTCCCTCTGTTAAACCCASTGTTCTGTTTTACTCCTCCTTGTGTTGCCCTAGTTCCTGTATAGTTCGGCTGTCACCTAAATGGGAAAATGACTTCCACAACCTTGGGAGGGCCAGGCAGCCTCTTGGGAAAATGAAAATTTTAGAGGGGTGGCCTTGTTAGTTCGAAAGAGCTTCCTCCTCTGGGGTGCTGGGTGCTCATTTCAGCCTTTACTCAGTTCTGGTGAGGCTTTCTTATTCTTTCTATTGATTTATTCTTGACAATTGATTCAATTTATCCTATTGACTATATACAGAATATCTGTACATTCTCTGAATATACAGATATCGCTGCACATTGTGATATTAAGGGTATACATTTTCTCCTTTCTAATGAGAGCAGTTTCCTGCTGGCATTTTACACTATGCCTTCAAAAGGAATATGCACACATAGTGCGTCACAGAACTGCATTTTCCACCTGAGTCATATTTTTAACAAATATTTAAGAATATACCAAGCTTTAACACACAACRTATGCACTAACTTGAGTGTTTCTCAATGTTCTCTTTGATAGATGACCCTTCAGCTCCAGACCAGCCTCAGATGACCGTTTCTGGTCAGACGACGTCRATTGACGAACCTCTCTCAGCTGTCACAAAGTCTAGCAAGAATCCCGTAAAAAACAGTGACGTAGAAACAGCAAACCTCTCCCCTAGCCTGATTCCTGCCCAGCAGCCCACGATATCCTTGATATCGGATGACAACACGGACGCGCTGAGCGTGGAGTCGCTCACGCTGGTGCCGCCCGTTGATTCCCACAGCATCCGTGCGTTCGGCTGCGTTCCTCAGGCCTCCTTGCAGTCCCCAGGGGAAGGCTGCGCGGTRAAGGAAGGGGTGGAAGAATGTTCTGACTGAAGGCAACCTGCAGACCGTGGTGAGCGGTGGAGCAGATGCCACCTCTTTCCTTGTCCTGTTCAGGGACAAGTGCAGATGCTTCTGGAACCATTAGAGACCCACTCGCAGGAAGAGACCCACTGATCAAAGAGAATATTGGCAGCTTTTGAAATAATCAGATGTTCGGCATATTTAAACCAGGGATGAGGGGGACTGTTTTGAATCTGGGCTGGATGTTTCCACGCCCATTTGTGCTGTACAAGAACATGAAAGTATTTCAGAGCACCTACTGCCTGCAAGTACAGTTGCAGCTGCAGAAACTAGCTTGGTTATTAAAGCTCTACAGTATTATGGAGAAGTGAAGAAATTTGGAAATTTGGGATCCCTGGTTTCCAGATACTGAATCATTATTTCTTTGAAACTGGAGACATGCCATTGACGAGGAAAAATATATATATATTGCAGAACAGATGTATCATTTCCATTTGAGACAAGTCAGGGTTGGTTTGTTTGTTTTGAGTTTTGGGTTTTCTTTTTTTTTTTTTTTTTTTTGTAATACTGATCTCATTCAGCTTCTGAAGGTCTGCATGATAGCAGCAGGCTTGGCCACTTTCAATGTTGTCTTCATAGGACTCTAAACTTCAATATTGTATTTTCCATGTGTAATATTTATTTCAGAGTTTGATTCAAAGCAAGATATATATCTATTTTTTTTAAGGGGAAAGCCTGAAAAGGGCTTATTCAGGTTAACATAAGGGATTGTTGAGACTTCTTTAGTCTTTGCTTAAACCATCTGCAGAGGAATGTAAAATATTTTAAGAGATTGTTATAACTTGTTCATTTATTTCTCACAGTCAAACTGCTACTCATCCGAGGGATGAAGAAATCCATTGTAGAGGACAATTTTTAGAAGCAGGCAGTTGGAAGAGTGGTTTGCTTGCTTGCTTTTTCTTGCTCTTTTTTCATTCTGCATCTTCAGGTAGGAGAAGGGTCACCACACCTAACTGATAATTCCAAATATGAAACACACCAGGGAAGGTATTCTTTTCTATCTGGAATAATATCATCATTTAAAAAAGAAAAAAAAAAGAAGTTAAATTGCTGCATAAAAGTGTTTCGGCTCTTCTGCTTGCCTTACTTTGCCCTGTAGATCCTGATACTGAGATGACAAAGTAATGGAAAGTTTTGATTAAAGTTTGGCATGTTTCTTGTTGACTTGATTCATAACTTAACTTCAGTGGGGTTTAAGCTTTCTCATCAGTTTCCATGTGTGCTCATTTGAATTAGTAAGATGAATGAGCAGAATGGTACTGATGTCTTCACGTAGCAGTACCCAGGTGCTCTGTGGCTCTCAAAAGCTGGACTCCTTTTTACAGTCTAGGTTTACATGAAATTGTGATTTCAGTCATCCGTGCAACGTGTTTCCTGCTTCTCTCTCCACCTGCATTGATCTGATTGCAAATAGGTAAATCTGAAGAGATTGTTGTTGTTGTTGCTTTTTTTTTTTTTTTTTTTTAAACCTTCTTCCCTTTTCTTTTTTTTTTTTTTTTTTTTTTTTTTTTTTAAACCTACTTCCAGTTTCCATTCTCTTATTATCTGCTTTCTGGCTGCAGGATAGCATACTGAGCTCATTTTAAATATATTTGCATCTGAGATTGAATAATCCAGAGCTAAACTTTGCTCACTTTTTCAGTCCTTTTTTAATGTAATAGCTTGATTGTTGCAAAACATGCATATACAAAATACCTGCTATTGAAAGTCAGTAAATCTTCTTTCTTTATGAGAACTGCTGTGCATCCCACTGCTGTGGACGTGGGATGAGAGTTTGGCCTTGCAGCTGGAATGAGACCTCATGTTTTTGTCACACATTTGGAGTAAGTTCACACCGCAGTCACTGCTGGCAGCTGATGCTGATGTACCTGAGCTAACTGAGGCATCAGCAACAGTTTGGCCACAGGGACCACATGCATAAATGTTTATTAGCTGAAGTGATTGCAGACTACACTTACTCTAGGATGTGCCATTATTACACTGCAGCCCTAATAATATTTTAAAAAACATTATAAAAAATGATGCCCTACTTAATTTGAAAACATTTTATGGTAGCTGTTAACCTTAACTGTTGACCTAGATTACAGAAAATGCCACTGTGCAGGCGCAGTTCTCTTAAACAGAATTAATTTTAGACGAGAAAAACCTTGATCTTTATTTATCTAATTTAAAATCCAATTCTAGCAAGATTAGGGCTTTGCACAAAGAGGCTTTTTAATGGGCATGCAGAAGCTCACTCTTGAGCTGTACTGCACAGCAAATGGGACCAAGGGAAAGAAAGCTGACTTGGTTTGTGCTCTTCATTAACTTGGAGTGGCTTTTAAATCTCACAACCAACTGTCTGCAGAGCTCTCCCCAGGAAAGAGGCTGACATGTCTGTCATCTGGCAATCGTTTTTCTCTAAAACGATGATGTTACTGATCTACGGTTCCTTGAAGAGTATCGTGTTTATCTCTCTTATCAGAAAAAAAATCAAGGGCTGTTTCCTCATCTCCCCCCTTTCACTGTAAAAAGGAAACTCAACCAAGAAAGCATTAGCACATCAGCCACAAATGTAATTTTTTCTAAACAAAAGTTGATTTGAATCAGCATAACATCACTTTTTTTAAGCAAATCCAGACACCACGTTGCCAGTGACGAGAACAGCTACCCCACTGACCCTTGCTAAGTCAAGCTTGTCGGTCTAACACCAGGAAGGGAAGGTGGGGAAAGTAGAAAGAAATAGATGCAGAAACAATCCAGAATCCTGAAATTTGGTGCGAGATGCGAGTTCTGAGTCTTCATAGAGACTCTGCTCATCTTCAGCCACATTCTGTGGCTTTGCTCCGTGTTAACATAGAGCAGTTCTGTGACTGCTGTTCTTTTGAGACAGGCCAAAGGAGCCAAGGCATGTGCCCTGCTTTGCTATTTCCAGATCTGTGACTCCCATATTTTACCAAATTTTACCAATATTTTAATTTTTTAAATAACTCTGTGTTGCCTTCTCAGACCTTTCCCACGCCACATCCTCCTGCTGTCTCCTTCTCGCCCAGGCTGCAGTGCTGGGCAGCCCTTCAGCTTTTCCCTCTTGGAGAGGAATGACCACCTAACCTGGGAAAGAAGACAAAAAACTAGCCCTGAATCCTAATGTCTGCCTCACTAGTGATACTGCAGCTTCCAACCTGTGCAAGTTGTTGAGGTTTGGGTTTTTTTCAGATTTTTTGTTTTGAAACTAGATTTTTTTTTAAATTCCACACTATAGTAGGTATAAAACAAATGGGCTAGAAACTCAATCATATATATTCCTCCTGGGGCCGTTTTTGCCTGTGAGCTCATGAGTTACTGACAATATAAGGACATGAGTTAAAAAATATATAAAAATATGAGTTACTGACAATATAAGGTCATTCATATTTTCCACTGCCAACTTATAATAAATTCCAATTCAGGTTCTTGTTCCTTCAGTTAAGCTGAGGGTGGCTGTGGGGGTGTGTGTGTGTGTGTGTGTGCAGACCTGGTAAAGAATCTTCCAATGTACAGCACAGAACTTTCTTTCGAGTCACCCACTGAGGAAAAATTGGGGCTTATCTTTCAGGGTGAAGTTTCCTTTTTGGAAATACTGCTGCTGAAGTATGGGCATGTGACACTTAAACCCCCTCTTCCCTSTCCAGAATTTGACTGAAATCTGAATCAGAACTCCCAGTTTAAGTCAGGCTGTAGTGATTCACACAGACCCTTTGCCCCACAGTGGCAGAGCACAGCGGGGAAGGAGAATGATCTGCTGTGGATTTGCAGKGTTTTGGTGCTCTCTTAAAAGACAAGGTTCAAGCAGTTCAGTTGCAGCAAAATCAGCAGTGCTCAGCACGACTGAAGGTACTGTGATTTTTCCAATTAAGCAGTAAGACACGAGGAGCTGCAGCTTTCACACTTAGAGCAAGTGGCCTTGGATGATTACTTTAACCAAGCTAGAAATTCAGTAATTGGCCCTGTAATTGAGTGTCATTTTGCTAATAGGAAATGGATTTTTTTCATGAAGCACGTGAAACTATTACAGCTCCTTGCTTAAGGACGTAGGGAAGCTCTCAGATAACCAGAGGAAACCATGTAAAGCATGAAGCCACTTGACAAAAGCAAACACAAGTTCAGACACTAGCAAAAACGAGCTTGTGCTCTAGTCRCTTTTTCCCCTCCGCACAGGGTGTGGAGGCCAAGGGGCAAGTTCAGGAACCGGCATGTCCCCTTTTCCACAAGGTGGGCATGCCAACAGATGCTGATGTGGCCTTTTCCAGCCGGCTTAAGCCTCAGGGTGAGATGCTTTTAAATRGCCATGGCACAGGCGGGTGCTGTGTGGAAAGCCCAGCCTGGTCGTCGTGCGGTGGAGGGAAGGAGGTGGGAAGAGCCCTGGAATGGGATCAGGCATCGGGGCCCAGCAGGGAGACGCTGCCTGGGCGAGTGTCCTGCCCGAACGGGCCGGCCTGGAGGTCCAAACACAGGGTTTGTTTGAAGTGCCCCTCCTGGCTGCTGCCCTTGACCGCCACTGCCTCACCCGGGCACTTTGCTAACCTCTAAACACCGCTATCTAAAAGTCTTTCTAGGAGGGTAAGTCCTCTTGTCTTGCCTGTTTTGCTGCTCTCATCTCTCCCCAAGCTGGTAGCACAAAAAGAGGTGAATATTGCAAATTTACTGTCTTCTATTAGCTCCTGAAAAATAGGTGGTGGCCGAAGCAGGACTCGCTGGGTATGGGCTTTTTTTGCAAGGGGGAAGGAAGGTGCTTGTTTTTGGTTTTCTGCTTCTCAGCGTTTTTGATGAGTAACCGAGGCGGGGCGGGGATGCAGTTCTGCACTGAATCTCAATCAGAAGGCTCTTTCATATGGAAGCATATTTTTATAGTACATTTGTACAGAATTAACCCTATTTTGAGCTCCCAGACATTTTTAGAGATCTGCACATTGCTCAGATTTGTTTCCTTTGGAAGATGTTGTAAAGTATGTATTTTATGTTTGCGAATGTATTATAAACGTAAAACTAAACTTTGCTTGTCTAATAAATACACACTGTGGAGGTACCAGTTTTCTTTTTATTTGCTTACAGGAATAGATTAATGAATTAATGAGTAGGAAAAGCAAAGCTTATCATTGCTGTGACTGTCCTGTTAGCGTAACTGAAGGTGAGAAGGGTGTTTCTGAAGCAAAATAACTGCGTGGGGCATCAGAAGCAGATGGTGCCCAAGTTGTTGGTAGCAGTGGTGAGAGTTCAGGCTGGCGCCTGGTGTTCCCAGCTGCGGCACAAATACAGCGGATACCAAGTTCCTTGGGAAAAGG